CCCCACCCGAGTAACAGGCTTCGCTATCGCTCAGCCAAAAATAACGACAAAAGTACAGGTTAATTTTAAAATAGTCATCTCCCAAACAAGACAGCGCCAAACCCGCCGGAACCTGACGCCGATGCTTTTGAACATTTGACACGGTCTGTTGAGACTCAATGCACTAGTCATGATCCATCCGGATCCATGAAAGCCTGTCAGGAGCTGAACACTGTCGAGAGCTGTTAAGACCTGTCGAAGCCGTTATTTGAACGACATCGGCGGCAGCACTTCGGGCAAGACGTTTCCCATCAGGGGAACATTCACAAATTACGTAAGGGCCTCGAGGGGGTGGGGGGGTCGACCAATCGTTACTAGGGTCTTATGTGGGGGTGTAGCAAGCCTTACGTAAGGTTTCTGAAACGCGCTGAAATGGGTTAAAAGTGGGAATTTCTTTTGTTATGCCATGTTTGCGTTGATTTTATTATGGCCAAATGCCCTTTTATTGATTTCGAGTTATGAACCCACGCTTTTGCAATGAAAGCAGTGCCATCTTAAATCAGAAATCTGATTGATTTCTGCCTCCAAAACCGCTGACTTATCTCGTCTTATGCACAAAACACGTAAAACACAGAGAAAAACCGTTTCGATGGTTTTATGGGGATTTTTTGGGGCGAAAACCTTACGTAAATGGGGGGTGGGGGGTCTTGAAAACCTTACTTGGCCTTACAGGGGGGTACAGGGGGGTCAAAAACGCCCCAAATCGCCCTTACGTAATTTGTGGCTGTTCACCAGGGACTTATTTACTTTGTGGCGAGGCGCTGAGGGCAAATGCGACCTGATTCGGAATCAGCGACCCCAAAAAACCTGACGGCAGGTAAAAAAAGCGCACTAAGTACACATAAACAAAATTTTACCCCCTTATTTTGAAAATTACCTACCCTGGACGTGAAAATTTGAAACAGCCATATCCGAATTGGAGTCAGAGACGCAAACACCGAACATGCAAGTGAAGTGCTCTGAACACTGGTTTCACATACCTTACCCCGCTTTTTGGGGCGTTTGCCGCCCCTGGACCAAAAATTTTTAGCTGTATATATTAAAATTGAGATCAGCTATCCAAAAGACATGTATGGTGAAGAAAAAACGGTGCAAAGATCACTTTTGTACTTGTGACCAGAAAATCGGGGTGATTCGACCACTGTGCGTCGCATTCCCGTTGGAGCCTCGATGAGTCTTTGATTGAAGTTGGCCCTAGTAGAGAAGGGTCCAATGTACATTTGGGCGTAGAGATCTCCGTCGGGACACGTAGGAGTCGTTTTGAAACTCAAGTTCAATATTAAGAAAAAACCTTAAATTCGCAGATTTACCTAGTTTCTAAAATAGGTGTGTACACATGCCACCGAGGAGAAATTGAGTCCAGTTTAAGTCCACATGTTGAGTGTGATACCTAAACAAGAGGTCACGTTGAAATCCGGGACGAAAAATACGACGTGGCTGGTCGAAAATCGTTTCGGCATATGTGTCATTTTTATGATCCACAAGCGGAACGTCCAAAAGCCTGAAAATTCAAGGTTTTCAGGTGCCATTCTCACTGTGATACGGCTAGTATATTTAGCTTGTATGTTCATTTCCTTGTAGACTGAACATTTTCGAAAATCATCTTACAAATCCGATGCAAAAAATAACTTAAAAATACTGGATTGAATTGGCGATTTTGCGAATCTCAGCCCACTGTGGGCCGTGCCGCGCACGGAGTGGCGCGGGAAGCACCACCCAGCTGACTTCCGGAGGGCACCCTTTCAATTGGGCGTAGTGGGCGTAGTGCCATTTTAAAGGCCATTTCAATTTTCTACTACATTCGTAGGGGGCATTTTAATTGATTTCGCAACAGATTTTAGTCCACGGCCAAAACGAAATTTGACGGAAATTTTGAAAGTTGTGTTTCTTGTTTTTTCTCACTTTTCTCCGAATAAACATGAACCAAGTAAACTACTCCAAAATTTTTGGATTTGTCATTCTTCTTTTGCGTCGAAAGCAAAAAACCGGAGCTTTCACTCTACAAAAAATGTCCTGTCAACGCCGTTAATTTATTACCAATGTTTGCTGTTATGCAATTCACGGCGTTTGCTGTGAACTAGTTCACGGCGTTCACTGTGATCTCGGTCACAGTGTTCACTGTGATCTGGCCACAGCAAACGCCGTGAATTGGAGCCTGATTGGCAGTACTTCGGTGCTCAGCGGCGTCAAACTCACAGTGTTTACTGGGAACCAGATCACAGTGAACACCGTGAACAAGATCACAGTGAATCCCGTGAGCAGATCACAGTAAACGCTGTGAATTGACCTACAGTGAAAACTGGTAATAAATTAACGGCATTTACAGGACATTTTTGGTAGAGTGTTCTACGACAGTTTGGACACGAACTGCGGCATGTACAAGATCGTAAAGCGGAGTGTGCAAAATTGAACCCTTTAAAAGCGATTTGCTGGAAATTCCACCGTTGCAAGTACTAGGTACAGGTACTTGCATGTTGTAGTCCATGTCGAACTTTACCAAATCCCAAAAGCTTGTCGGGCCGCAAATTTTTTTAAGCAAACAGCGTTTTTTGTCTAAAGTGCCTGGGGTAGTAATGCGAGGAGTAGGGTGTTTCGTCATATCGAATTTTGGGTCCGTCAGTGGTTTTTCTGAAAGGCCTTGGTCTAAAACGAACCTGTGCCAAGTTTGAGCCCGATCCGATAACGGGAAGTGGAGGCGCATCGAGCCTAAAGTTTTGGGGGTCCGCGGCGTATTCGCGCGCACTGTCACACTAGAGCACGCCCCGTGCACGCCGGACGCGATGCAAACCTACGGGAACCATGCAGGTACGTTCACAAGGGTCCATGGTAAGGGTTTATCTACTCGGCAGATCGACCGCGACCACCCCGCCGAAGGGTAGGTGAAGCAAAGTCGAATTTTCAGTCGCGCTACCGTACGTCCAAACGGCCTGAGGCAGCGGCTTCTAATTTCACGTGCGTCGACTAGACTGGACCAGGAACCGATCTGATAAATAGCGGTCACGTTAGCGCACCGCGTTCCTCGCGAAAACGCGACGCGAATGTCGCGACGCGCCAGCGCGCGCCGGCCGAGCGTTTGAATTCTGCCCGGCAGTGACCGTGCCGTGCCGTTCCGCTCGGCTGGCCGAACCAGCGCGCTGCCTGGGAGCCGGCCTTAAATCAAGCCTTTAGATTCCTCTCACGAAATGCGTGGTGAGCGGTTTGGGGAGGGGGGGGGATTTATTGTTCAACCTTTATTAAGAGCGTTTAGAAATATTGTAAACTGTCCATAGCACTGTGCGAAAAAACCACAGTGAATCCCGTTAATTTTTTTGCCGGGATTTACTGTAGTTCAGAACACAGGATTTACCGTGCCTGGCTACAGTATCTACTGTACCTGGTACAGGATATTCCGTACTCCACCCCTGTGGTACAGTAAATCCCGTACAAAGTACAGTAGATCCTTTTAAAAAAGTACAGTAAATCCTGTACTCTGAACTACAGTGACAGCTGTACTAATCACTACAGGATTTACTGTGTTTTTTTCCCACAGTGAGTGTCTGTGCAATGTCATTAAAACATTGTGAGTTGACTCATTTGTGGGTGCCCGTGATATCAATTTTAAGTGCACAAATATTAGAGATATTTCGCGTAGCTTTCAGCGCTTGGAGGCCTGTGAGGTTGACGCTCTCTGACCACGACGCAGAAAGAAAATCGCGGCCTAATGCAGGTCACTGGTGCAAATGCGTGCAACCAGAAAAAAGTGCCCCACAGCGAAGTGTGCGTCTGCCCCTGCCAGTCATTCGGCAAAGACGTGCGTGCCTTGTGGCTGACTCCATGAAGTGCGAGCTTTGCACATATAGAGTTTCCCGAGAAGCTTCCAGATTATTCACGCACTCGTGTAAATGCTGTCAGAATGTCAGAAACCTGTCTAAAAACCTGATCAAAATTTGCGCACCTCTGAAAGCTGAAAACATCTCCTGACATTCTGTGGAACTCAAACCATCATTATCAGAGCAAGTTTTCAGAATTTCAGCTTTTAGAGGTGCGCGAATAATTTTGATGAGGATCTCAGATATGTTTCTGAAATTCTGACAAAATAAACTCTGCAAACTCAACAGTGTACTCAGTACATTCTTGTTAAAGTGTGCTCGTGAGTACACTCTTACTAGCGGGATCTCGGATGAGTACACCCTAACTAGAGTGTACTCGGATGATCACACTCTAACTAGCGTGTACACGGATAAGTACACTCTAACCAGCGTGTACTCAGATGAGTACACACTTTCAGCTGCATTAATTGCCAGGCGTGCTTAGGTGTGTACTCATCTGAGTACGCGCTGGTTAGAGTGCACTCATCCGAGTCCACGCTAGTTAGAGTGTACTCATCCGAGTCCACGCTAGTAAGAGTGTACTCATCCGAGTTCACGCTAGAGTGTACTCATCTGAGTCTACGCTAGTTAGACTGTACTCATCCGAGTACACGCTAGTTAGAGTGGACTCATCCGAGTACACGCTAGTTAGAGTGTACTCATCCGAGTACACGCTAGTTAGAGAGTACTCATCCGAGTACACGCTAGTTACAGTAAACTCATGAGCTCACTCTAACTAGAGTGTACTGAGTACACTGTTGAGTTTGCAGAGTACACGAGTGTGCCTGCTTTCAAAGTATATTTTGGGCACTGTTATCCACCGCCTGTCTTTTTTGCGGCAGCAGGGTGTCAAGCGGCATGTCGAGGTGTCCTATTGAAAAGATCTTATCTGGGCGTTCCACTCAAGACAATCTTATCTTAAACGCAGGTGAATTTCACTCACTGGCCATTTCGGACGGGAACGGGAGTAAGCGGAATTATATTGTCTTGGGGGGAACGTCCAGATAAGACCTTCTGAATAGGACCCCTCGCTGTGTCTCTGCCTCATGAAACCTTTTCTTGTTAATTTGCAGTGTATCCTGGTACCGACCCTAGCAAGATGAATGCCCCAGTGGTATCCGTCGTAATGATCCCATCCCTGGGATCGGAACCAGTTCAAATCACGTGCCCGCACTGCAACAACTACGTCGTCACCAAAGTGGATTACCAGGCGAACAATAGCACACATATCAAGGCCCTACTTCTGTGCTTACTGTGAGTTCAAATATTAATCTGACTCTTAAGAGAAGACCACTCCAAAATGGTAAAAACTTGCAACTTTTTTTATTATTTTTATTATTGCAACTTATTTTTTTCTGTGTTGAATGGTGAAAACCGCATTTCAAAATTCAAAAAAATGCATTTTTAAGAGCTTGTTGGCCGCAAACATGCATCGAGGTAAAGTCCAAATTCTCCAAATTCGATCGCGTTTTTTTCCGGAACATAATATTGCAAACGGACGAGACTTCCAGGTCTGACCGAAACCAGGAGATACTCTTGCGATCAATTCTGTTTTACTATCTTTGAATTAAATATTTTGGAAAAATATGGGCTAGAAAAACGCTGTTTTCAGAAATTTTCATTTTGCCGCGTTGTTTGAGGTACTAATAATTATTCCAAAAAATTTTCACTATTTTACACTAGAATGACATGTATTTGGATGGTCCACACCAAATTTGGATCCTTAAGGTCCCACCGTTTGGTCCAAATCGCGCAAACCAACGACCCGTGTATTTTATGCAGTGGTTAAGCGAAATTCGACGAAATCGCTTAGGGTTTATTTTATGTGCAACTTTGTATGTGGTGCTGCATGATTTTAAACCTGTGTCGCGTTTGGCGGCAAATTGTGCTCTCATTCTCTTGAATTTATGCAAATTTACGTAAAAATTATGCAAATTCAACCCCTGCACAGAATCGTGCAAGTTTCGCGGACAAAAGTCTACATAAACATATCAAGTGCGGACAAACACTCTCATTCCAGGAACGTGACATCACGTTAAAACGAACGCGACAAAATGTCACGTTTTGGCTGCGAATGGCGAAAAATCAGCTTGTTCACATTTAAACGAACGTGCTCAAAATAAACGTGACATTTTGTCCCAGTCGATTCAACGTGATGTCACGTTCCTGGAGTGAAAGTGAAACCAGTGTTGTGACTCTGTCATCGGGTAACAGGTCCCGGCGAACCTTATCTGGCTGGACGACGCGCCTCGGTGGCCTTCGTCACTATCACCGCGGCGACTTAAAGTCGAGCATTAAGTAAAGGCGCCTCTTCCGTTTTCAGGTGCGGATGCCTTCCTGGCCTCATTCCGTACTGCTGCAACTCGTGTCAGTCCGCCGTGCACACGTGTCCAGTGTGCCACAAGCACGTGGGCACGGACGACAACTAATCACGGAAGGGCGGATCCAGAGACGAGACCGAGAGGAATAAGAAGGGGTACGCGCCGTTTAGTGTGGGCGCGTAGTGTGGCTGAGCTGACGATTGTGCCCTTCAGGTGTTGCTTGAGGAGACGAAATGTGCATCTAATGGGCTCATATTGAGTGAAATTTAGGCCAAGGGGCACAAATGGACGTGATTTTCGTTATCAGCACACAAAAATCTCCTGGGATAAACTACAAAATGCACTGTTAAAAAATTCGGTTTGAAATTTCTTAATATGTTAATGTATTTATTATCACTTTTCTGTTCTGAAATTTCATGGCGATAGATAAATTTCATTGCAGAACATCACCATGAAATTTAATAGCAATCTGTTGTAAAACTTCATTAAATTGTTAATGAAAATATTCATACACTGCAGGAAATAACCACAACAAGAGTACACAAATTTCTGGCAAATTTTTTATCAGGTTTTTATTGTACTTTCGAAGTACAACAATTGTTGTACAAAGTACAATGAAACCGGCATGACGAGTGATGGGCAGAGCAGGCGTCGTTGTGGTTTGTACAATTCTCGTTGTACTTTCTACAATCCCTGTTGTACTTTTATTGTACAGTTTTTGTTGTACATTTGTTGTACTATTCACACTTTTTCTTGCAGTGTATGCAAGTTTTGACATTTCATTTGCGATTGTAGTATTGTATTTGATAAATGGCTAATGAAATCTTGACTGGCTTGTCCATCGTCGGTTACTTCTTACGTGTTGCATGCTGGGGGGCTCCGCCCCCCAGACCCCCCTTTATTCTAGAAAGAGTTGCTTCATCTACAGATAACACGATCTTGACCCTTGTAACTTTTTAACTTGTCGAGGCTGGGGGGCTCCGCCCCCCAGACCCCCCTTTCTTCAAGACAGAGGTGATCTACCTGCAGAAAACTCGATTTTTCGCCGTTTTTTAGGTGTTTTTCGGCTATAAAAACTGAACTAGTTGAGCTAGGATAGTGAAATTTCGCGTGTGCCGAGCCAAGAATATACCTAATAAGCCTGCGAAATCTCAGCCAGATCGGCCGAGCCGTTCAGGAGGAGTAGTGTACACACACAGACAGACAGACGCACAGACAGACAAAACTTTTCAACCGCACTGGAGTAACAGGCTTCGCTATCGCTCAGCCAATCATGCGTCTCATATTACCCCGATATTGTCTCATATTACCCCGGCCTACGGTACTGAAAAGCCCCACTCCCTTTCGAACATCAGGCGTTTGGGGCCTTTAAGTTTGAGCAAGGTGCAAAAAAACTCCAGGGTGGCATTCCTCCCGTGTCCAAGAAGACGGCTGAGCGAAGAAACGCGGTGCCTTGCACTCCTGCACGCCCCTGGAGGAGTTGGAAGCCCTTCGACGAGCGGGCTTGTCGAATAAGACATGGAGGCACTTTTTTTGAGAAGTCCGATCGAAAACATGACCACCGCCGATTTCATCGCCATTTGGGTCAAAGGTACCCCTTATGGGTGTAAGAAAAGCCCTAAAATATTGGGGGCGGAAAACGCATGGTTTGGATTTTATTCACGATTTTAGTTTTCTCTGACACAATTTAGGTGAATTTGGTCAAAATGTAAAAATCGATATTGCTCGGTCCCTGTCGGCTCTAGCTGCTTAAAACTTGACTCTTTCATGTCAAATCGGCCGAGGAACAAGAATCCGGCGTCGGTTTCCCGATTGGCCAGCTCAAATTTGGACCATGGCTGTTTTCATATTTAAGCAGTCATTTCTTGTATCTCTGGGGTTTTGGTGATGGACATCGATTTTGACCGATCCCAGGGGTGGAATTTGAAGATAAAGGATCAAACTAAAATATTCCGTCATAAAAAGTTTGTGTTGGGGCAGCCCTAGCAGCAGCTACAAAAACCGTGAAAATGCATGTTTTGGGCAGAAAACTGCCCCTCTTTGTTCTTTCCACAGGACTGCGGTGGAATGGCAGCGTGCTCCAGGGGTGGGATCGGGGAGCTCTCGGGAGAGTTCTCCGTGGAGGGAGAAACTCTCCGCCCGACATACACAAGGCGGTGGTGGAAAAGGCGGCAGGCGAAGGCGGGAACGAGCGTAGCGTTGGCGCGAGAGGAGAGAGATTTCAGCGAAGCGAAGTAACCGAGTGTAGCGTATTCGATTTTGATTAATACCGAAATACGGATTAAGACTTTCCAAGGTAAGTGTGTGATGACTCTTTTAATTATTTAGTATTTTCGGATAACCGTCAAGTTTTGTTCGGATCGCATCTCGATCGCATCTCGGCATCCTAGTCTTTTGACTTGGGACTTGAACATATTTGATAATTACAACTTCGTGCATTTTGTCCAAGACACTTTTGACAAGCTTTTATTGTAATTAACTTTAAGCGCTGCTTAAATAGGAAGGTTGCGTGTGGTTCCTAACCTACTCCACCGACGCGCGGTATTGACGCGGTGAAGCGCCAAGCAAGCCTAGGCCATTGGAAGTGATAGAAAGTTGACGAGTAGTCGTGATTTTTTTACAATCGCAGCGTCTTGTTGAAATGATTATCCGATATAATAAAAATTGAGCGTGAGATTTTACCTTAAAAGACTTAGTATGCTCGTTCGTACTGGTCTTAGTCTCGTCCGGATTGAATCTCAGTCTTCTGCCTTTCCATTGTACTGAAAACCTGTTCTAACGTTCTATGCTGTTGAAGAAGTGCTTTTCAACAAGCGTTTCTATTGAGTATAATTGCTCTGTTTGTATTTTCCTTGGAAACGTTGTCAAATAGCTAGGTTATGGGTTCTCGTAAACTTCACTGCAAAGTCAGTAATTGTGTGATGTTGCAAATTTTGCCCTTAAGGTTCCGCACTTATTTCCTCATCGAACACCATGTAGTGGCTTGTGGGCAAAATATGTTTTTATAAATCCTTTGGTTTGCAGTGCGCTAGAAGCTCAGTTTAAAGTGTTTTTACCTCTTGTTTTTTGTTCCTCAGATGGCTCAGGCTGTGCGCGGAACAGAGGAGCAAAAGATATTCCTTGTATCGTACATGGAAAGGAATCCTGCCTTCTGCCAACGTGAGTTTCGAGGTGCCCAAGGACTCCTCGAGCTTCGTCAGAAGTGGAATTTGTTATCAGAAATGCTTAACAATGTACCGAATGGAGCAAGAAAGACCCCGGATCAATGGCAAAGGGTAAGAAGTCCTCATAATTTTAAGTAATATTGGTCACATTTGCAGTTACCACTTATTAGTGTGATTTCTTTGTTTAGTTTTGGAATGATCAAAGAAAAGCTGTGAAGAGCAGAGCAGCTCAAATAAACCAGTTTCTTGGGCGAGGCACTGGTGGGGGGAGCCCTATGCTCCTTATGACATCTTACGAGAGGAGGGTTTTGGCATGCATGGGCGGATTTACCAGAGTTGTTGGGTTCACCCAGGTTGTTGACCCCTTGGAGGTATGTATGGCAGCTTGAATTTAATTTTCTTTAATTTTTAAATGATCCTTGCCCCTTAATTTTCTTTGATTTCTTTTTCAGGTTGACCCAATGGCGTTTAACATTCCTGTTCATAATGCCCCTCTACAAAATGTGCATGCTCCTCTTCCACATGCTCCTGTTCAAATTGCTCCCGTTCAAAATCATCCTCTTCAACATGCTCCTATTCCATATGGTCCTATTCCATATGCTCCTCTTCAAGGAGCTCCTGTTCAAATTGCTCCCGTTCAAAATAATCCTTTTCAACATGCCCCTCTTCAACATGCCCCTCTTCAACATGCCCCTCTTCAACATGCCCCTCTTCAACATGCCCCTCTTCAACAAGCTCCTCTTCAACATGCCCCTCTTCAACAAGCTCCTTTTCAACATGCCCCTCTGCAACAAGCTCCTCTTCAACAAGCTCCTCTTCAACATGCCCCTCTTCAACATGCTCCTGAAAATGCCCCTCAGTATCAGCAAGGGCCAAATGCAATGAATGCATTTGAAGACAGAATCGCAGAGGGCATCCCACCTGCTGAACTTGATGTAAGCATATCATTTTACTTATATAAGGACACAAATGAAACGTTATTCATGGGTAGAGCATAATGTAGTTTTCAAATATCGAATGGATAGTCTTTTTACTTTTCTCTTTACATTCTGGTAATTTACATTCCACATAATTACCTCTCTGAAAAATTACTTGATGTGTTTGTCTGTTTATAGGTTCAACCTGAAATTGGGCGAGAGATAGACATGCAGTGGGTTTTGGATCCCTCAGCAGTACGTATTTACATAGATACTTTTTCTTTTTAAAATTTTCTTTGGCAGTAGTTTAATTTTTGTCTATGTTTGTTAGGTCCCATCTAATACTGTTGAAGAAAATTATACACCTGACTTGCTGTTCCCATCTGTAAGTTATCACAAACCAAAGGAAGTACCGTCTTGTTTTACTTTCTTGTCAATTTATGATATCGTGTTTGTTTGTTGACAGATTCCTGCATCATTGCCCCAAGCAGCCCAGTCTGCCACTTCTGTGACATCAAGTATATCAACACTTACATCGGTTGGGACTGCTGCTCAATTGACTGCCGTCAACAAAACTGCGCAGTCGATGCCATCATGTTCTAGAGCTACATCTCAACCAACATTCATGAGGATCCAGCCACCAGTAGCTCAGTCCGCTGCATCAACAGCTGTGAGGGCCGCTACTCAACAAACTTCTAAAGTGTCATCCCTGACACCTGCTAGGACTGATCTGACTCCTAAACAAACTGCGAAGTTTATGCAACCTCAGCCATCGTGTTCTAGAGCTACATCTCAACCAACATTCATGAGGATCCAGCCACCAGTATCTCAGTCCGCTGCATCCACAGCTGTGAGGGCCGCTACTCAACCAACTTCTAAAGTGTCATCCCTGACACCTGCTAGGACTGATCTGACTCCTAAACAAACTGCGAAGTTTATGCAACCTCAGCCATCATGTTCAAAAGCCACTCCTCAACCAACTTTCATGAGGATCCAGGCTTCAGTGGCTCAGTCAGCTGCATCAACAGCTGTGAGTGCCTCGAGTCAACCAAGGATTCCTATTTCATTGGTTAGGCTCACTGCTCAACCAACTGCCACAGTGTCAACCCTGACACCTGTTAGGACTGCTCTGCAAAATACTCCTAGACAAACTGTGCAAGTGATGCAACCTCAGCCATCATGTTCTAGAGCCACTCCAACACCGAAGTCAAAGTTCTTAGCTAAACCGGCTGCAAAGATACCTGCTGCATTGTCTGTGGTGAGGTCCACTGCTCAACCATCGTCCATGAGGATTCAGCCACCGGTGGCTCAGTTACCTACATCAACACCTGAGAGGGACACTGCTCAACCAACATTCGTCAGGATCCAGTCTGGTCCTTCAACTCCCATAAGGACCCCACCTGTGCCTATTCCTCATGCTCCTGTGAAGGTTTCTACTCCCTCTGCACCAGCTGTGTCACTGCCCTCATCCACACCAATGAGACCTATGAAGAGACTTGTTGAGCCGCACAATTTGCCACTTGAGCCCCTTCCAGCTAAAGTACAGAAATCTTACGAGAATAGAACTGTAAGATCCAATCCTGTGGCCACTTCAACTCCAGTCAAGGCAGGAAGCAGTACACTCACCACACCTGAACCAAAGGTTGTTGATGGATTGAAGTTTATCATCATACGCAGGCCTCCCCTTGGTGAGATTCAGAACAAGCAGCCTTCCCTCGGTGAAATTCAGAAGAAGCAATAATCTAGTCTACGATCTAGTTGTTTTCTAAGTCTGATTTGGTCTGAAATGTGACTTTTCTGTATTTCAGTATTAATTTTTCCTTGTTCGTTTCATTATGATGTTCCTTTATTATATATCTAAGCTATTATGAATGTGATTTGTATCCCAAAAATTGCTCTTATCTACCACATTCTATGTCTATTCTCATAACATTAATTTTTTCAACATACAATGTTCCTTTACTATTTATCTAAACTAGTTATCTTCCTGTAAATTACTGGGCAGTAAATGCCCCTTATAGTAAAAGAAGGTACCTTTATTTATTTTACTTTGTAGTATGAATGTGACTTACTGTAACCCAACTGTGAATGTCCCTTATACCCAAAGTAGGTACCTTTATTTATGTTACTTTATAGTATGAATGTGATTTATTGTAACCCAACTGTGAATGTTACTTATACTCAAAGTAGGTACCTTTATTTATTTTACTTTATAGTATGAATGTGATTTATTGTAACCCAACTGTGAATGTTACTTATACTCAAAGTAGGTACCTTTATTTATTTTACTTTATAGTATGAATGTGATTTATTGTAACCCAACTGTGAATGTTACTTATACTCAAAGTAGGTACCTTTATTTACTCAACTGCGAATGTTACTTATACTCAAAGCAGGTGCCCTTATTCATTTTACTTTATAGTATGAATGTGATTTATTGTAACCCAACTGTGACTGTTACTTATACTCAAAGCTATTAAATTTATGTCAACATTTTATGTCTCATATTTTTAATTCATTAAATGAGCACACCTAGCGCTACCTCCCCACCCCTTCCAACCTCCTCAAGCAGTGAGGGTTTGTAAAGCATCCCTACTCATGATAAGCGTGAACCACCTCCCATGAAAAATAGATTCCAAGTAAATAGCTCTCCTCCCAACGCAGACTCGTCAGTGCTGTGTGTGTACACATGTTGCAGTTGCTTGCAGAGCAGTGAAAGACCTGCCTATGTCGACTACCAGGAGGTGGAATTTTGTACTGAGACGTTGTCTTGTTGTGTGCATTTGGTTTTATTTAAACTTTTCTTTAAATTTGATTGCTTCTAGGAGAGATTGGAATCACTGGAGCTTAGAATGAATAGGTTCAGGCGAGTAATTTTGGAGGCTCATGAAGACAAATAGATAAGATACTTCATTTGTTCACATAGTAAATAAACAACTCCACAGCACAGATACAAATACACAACAGAGTATCGACCAACCACATCAGAGTGCAAGCTAAACACATAAATAGGATAACTAAAAGTCTACTCAGACACACTCACACTGACATTCATACACTCATCCATACATATTTACAAGAGAGTGCGGGTACACTTTGTTCACCTCAATTCATAGCAGCAAAACAAAACAAAAGAATACTTCTTTAAAGAAAAAACACAATAGGTTTGCAGCTGTTCGTCTAACTCATACTGATCCTATGACTTCGTGTCAGGATTCCACAAATTCCTTCAGACTGTAACACTCTGTCAATAAATAAAATTCAAGTTTTTAGCCCCTCGCTTACAACAAAAGTTCTACTGATTGCGCATTTGTTCCAAATAATCAACAACCCTCTGCCGGACATCCCTTCCTGCCTGTAAGAGATCAATATAATTCTCATCCAGTTCATTAAAATTTTCTCCCTCCCATTCATTAAAGTTGTCATTTCTAGCTCTATCTGCATTTAACTGGTAGTATGGGACTTGGGCCAAGATGCAGAGATTGTGCAACACTGCTACAGCCACAATGATCCTGCAGGCCTTGAGAGGAGAATAATGAAGAATTCTCTCATCATTAATTGCCCTGCAATGGTCAGGAGAATATTTTCATTTATATAAACTGCCTTGATAAAAATATAAGAGTGATGAACATACCTGAACCTCTGTTTCATCAACCCAATAGTGTTCTCCACAGTGCAGCGGTCCCTGCAGAAATCCCTGTTGTATCTCATTTCTGGGGTATCCTCATCTGGTTCCTCCCCACGAGCAAACGGAGTGAGCATCCACGGTTCATGAGGAAATCCAGAGTCACCTTGGGAACATGGAAACAATGGAGTATATACTGGAATATCATGACAACCTGTACAGCATAACTTAAGCATTGCCTTACCTAAAAGGAAACAACGTTCCTCCTCGTTTAACTCGATCATCTTCCTCCGAAGTGCACTGTTAGCCCAAATGTATGAATCATTAGTAGCCCCTGGGTAACGGGATACTATATTCATGACATAAAAACGTTTGTCACAGGTCTGAAAGTAACATTAATGTCAAAGACTAATCCTCAATGACTTAAGGGAACATACTTTAATTTAAACACTAACCACTAATGCATTTATGCTGGCAAAGGACTTTCGCCCAATGTAAGCTTGAACATTATCTTCTAATGTTGGCTTCATAATTTTAACTAATGTTCCATCCGTATATCCAACAGCACTCGGAATCCTGCCACCCAAATATTGATTCCTGAAAGAGAAACAAAATCTAGATTAGACATATTTTCTTTGGTGGATTACAAATTAAGGAAAAAATTATTATTACCTGGCAACACATGCTCTCATTTGCTCAGCATTCCTTGGAAACTGGATCAGTCTACTGACCACCTGTGGATGGTTTAGTGCGAGGGTGACCTCAGTAAGGTGGTCCGACACTGTTGGCTGCGCTACTGCAGTATCTATACTCTTCCCTGTGGGCCTTTGATATGATCCTGTTGCATAAAAATGCAGCACACACAAAATCTGTCACAACAGTAAAAATCAATAAGGGAATTAATCAATCGTCCAATGGAAGAATCCAATACATTACATAACTTCAATGAAGCACCTTACCTTGATCTCCAAAGGCACAGCGAGAGGACTTGTAGTTCGAGGAATATGTGGACGAATGAGAACCACAAGACTACGAACAAGATCTTGCGTCAGCCTGTATGAGGCAATGAAAGTCTCCCGAGTGACGTCGAAGGGATCATGAGCATCTCTTATTCTTCTCCGAAGAAGAATTAGTTGGTTAATTTGTCTTCTTCTCTCTGCCCTAAACCTCTGTTCCATGGTCTGAAAGAAAAAATAAAGAGGGTGAATTAGAAACAGAGCCAAAAAGGAAATAATACTTTTAAGTACGAAAAGCCTCCTAGGGTGCATTCCATAACCTAGCTATATCGAAACACATTAAGGAAAAATGCAACGTTAAGGAACAGTGATAAACATAAATGCTTGTCAAGAGTATGTCTTGGACACAACACATTTAGTTCTAGTTATCGAACATTAAAGAAAGAGGTTGAAGTCCCAAGTCCAAAGACTAGGATACTAGGATGCGATCCGAGAAAAACTCAAAGGTTATGAACGAAAATAGTAAATAATAAAAAAGAGTCATCACACGCTTACCTTACTATATCTTAAGAGGTATTTCGGTAATAATCCAACTGTCCAAATCGAATTCGCGATACGTGTACCTTTGCTTTTCTCTCTCGCGCCTCGCGCCGCTACGCTCCCTCGTTCCACCGCCTTGTGTATGTCGGGCGGAGAGTTTCTCCCTCCACGGAGAACTCTCCCGAGAGCTCCCCGATCCCACCCCAGTGTGAGGTAGGCCTTGGGCGGTGGTCATGTTTTTCGATCGGACTTCTTAAAATAACAGGAAAAGTATCGATATATATAGGCAACTTTGGCCCGTCCCGTACATTTAGAAATGTGTGAATTTAGTCTATGCTTAAGGGGGGACATCACTCCAAAAACAGTGCTTTTGTAAAAACGTCATGAAAACTAAACGGAAAGAGATAAATTGTTCATATTTTAACAGATAAAGTACAAAACAACAGAAAGTCAATCCGCCAGAGCAGTACAGCGCTTTCGTTGAAAACACATTTTTGAGTGCTTGGTTAGACCATTTCGCACTGTTGCAGCGCTGGACGCCAAACGGTTTGACGTAGAACAACGAAATTTGGTGACAGCCTTCCTGAGATGTCTGGCTATGGTGGGTACCTCAATCGCATTTCAAAAATCATTTAACGTTGTATTTGTTACATACCAAAAAAAATTGTTCAATTTTTTTGGTAAACATTGTTCAATTTTAAACGTTAAAAAAATAATAAAAATTGACCAATGCAAATTATTTTGCTACCCACCATAGCGGCATGTCGTAGGAGCTTCCATGCTAAATCTCCCCGCTGTAGCTCAAAAACTGCGCCCTAGAGGCCTGCAACCGTTTGCAATTTCATGTTCCGAGAAAAACGCGATCAAAGTTGGGGAAACTGGGCTTTTCCCATATGCATGTCTGCGGCCCACAACCTCCTAAAACTGCAATTTTTTGAATTTCGGAATGCGGTTTTCGCCATTCGACGCAGAAAAGAATGATCTATAATATTAGCGAATAAAAAAAAGTTGCAATTTTTGATCATTTTGGAGTGATGTCCCCCCTTAACCCCAACGGGATTTGAACCCGAGTCTGGGGTCAAAAAAGGAGTTATTTTTGTCATCAGCGTCCTCAAAAACATCAGATACAATGCAAAAACTTGAATAAAACGAATGTCCAAAATACACCCCACTGGGATTAGAACCCGGGTCCAAACATCTCCGATTCGCTTGAAACTGGCACCGTTGCTTTCGTTTCGTCGCCCCGATTCCAAAAATACCCCTTAATACCCTTCTAGCAGTATCCGTTGCCGAAATCCTCCTCGACCCCATGTAGACCATGATGCACCTGCAGCAGCTCCCTCGGGGCTCGGATCGGATTTGCTGCCACCGGGCGGTTCTTAGGGTCACCCAAGGAGCCTGCATACCAAATTTGGTCAAGATCGGACCACGGGAAGTCCTCGGACGAACGGACGCACAGCAGGGATCATACTACATGCCCGTCCCTCTGTCATTTTTTTTTACAAAAAATAAACGGGACGGGCCAAAAAGTGCCTCATGGCGGAAGCGACCATGAAGTTTTCAAGACGATCCAACATACCGTCCGTCTTCCAGAGCGAAAAGCGTCATTTCCAGTAAAACTGCCCTTCACTTCACCCCTTTCCAGCGACTCGCTGAGTGAGGGTAGCAGTCCTTACCAGCAACGTGACTCACTCGGCCCAGACCTCATTTCAGAGGCCTCCAAGTTTCAGACTTATGCGACAAAGAATGGGGCCGTGGGAGCGACGCAATGATGTGCCTGCACTGGGCAGCAATGGACGCGCAGCGGTTGGAGAGGCTGTTTGGGCATAAAGGAGTCGAGAAATCGGAAAACGGACGAAATTTTCGTCTGCAGGGTCGTTTTAGGACCTTTTTACCCAAGGATCACACTTGGTTTGGTGAAAATCCGTAAAAAAAATTTCGCTCTCTGCCTTTATTTAGGATCTTGGGGCACGGCTTTGGTAAGTCTGACGATCTTGGGCTTTCAAACTAGAAGTTTTCTCACCATTTCGGTCATTTTGAGTCGGGGTATCCAGCGGAAATTTCATTTTTGGAAAATAAGCGCAATCCTAATGCCCTGGGCCCATAACCTGTACGGCTTTCTTGAGTATTCGAAAGGACAGGGTAAGAAATAATAGAGATCGGCTACAGCGCAAAGAGTGAAGGACCAAATTTCAAAATGCAGGGCCTTCTATAACTTAAACAGCTGATTCGTAGACAATAGTACCAGCATAATTGGGTGAAAGGCAGGATGTCAAGTGAGGTAAAAATAAAATAAATTATAAAAACTTAGATTTTTGGCATGCAGGGCAGGGCTCCTGCTTTTCGGAAAACCCCTGGAAATCACCCTCGAAATCAACTACGTTCTAACCGTAGGCTTCAGTGGTGCGGGGTTTACGGTGTAGCGGCCGCTACACCAAGCCGCTACACCAAGGGGACAACCACTCACGAAATCCTGTGTACAAGCAAAACTCATGCGACTCCGCAGATATCTCGTTAAAACTCGCAAAATCCAGTCCTGTAGCGCATCTTTTGTACCAAAAAAATATGTGGTTGGCTTTATGGTAAAGTCATGCTGCGGAAATACGACATATGATATGAGAGTCATCACAGTGTCCAGAAAAAGTCATTACATGTTTTCCCGCCTGAAACAGTAACAGCACGAAGTAACAGAATTAGTGATAAAAGCAACGGCGAAATAGCTTTCTCACGATCCTGCTTTAATGGACGATGTTTGCGACCACGACACCATAGAGCCTCACTTCAGTTCAGAGGTGTCTTCAAACATGAAGTGCCAGGCCTTTCTTCTGTTGACACTTCTCCTCGCCACGTGTGCGGGTCTTGTGGTAAGGGCCTATTTCGGATTCCTTATATTTTGTTCTGTCATTATACTGATCTATAAACGCCAGTGTGTGCATGGCACACCGTTTGAAACTGTATACTTTGTACACACAAGTACACCTATGCTAAGAATGGAGTTTTACGTACGGCCCCAAACATGCTCAATAGTATGTACTTGGCCAAGTATGCGTTTCTAAGTGTACTTGCAAGCACAACCGCTGGTGATACAATTTTGTTTTCCTCACTCTTAATTGTCCAACGGGTATTGTACTTGCGGACACAAACTAAAATTGCATACCGGATGTGCTGCATATTGCATCATGGAGAGGACAAAAAAAGCCCCATGCAAACATACAAGGCATCCTCACACTTATTTTAAATGCTTCCCAGATGGCGACCTGCGACGCCTCCTACTGCTCCCTATACTGCTTGAAAGTGGGAGGCCCGCTGCCTCGGAACTTGACGCCATGCAACAACAACTGCGTCAATGCCCCGACCTGCCCTTCCTCGCCCTGAGAAGACGACGCATGTCATGGTGGTTGAGCTGACACAATTAAAAATACAGACCCACTGTCCAATTTTGTGTACAGTATTGTAAAAATGTGGTGGAGTGTGGAAGTTGTGCTGTGTTTGCCATGTGTTTTACCAGCTTACAGATCTTTGGGGTCGCTAAAGTAAAAAATTTGCTCGAAAAAAAAAAAAAAAAAAAAACACGCCTAACTGGCTTTTTTTCTTCGCGGAAAAAGCCGTTCAAAAATTTTTGAGCCGCTTTGTCGCACGAGCTATCGATTCCTAGGAATTGTTTCGGAAATTACGAAATATTTTCTGTGTTGGCACTCTTGCACCAGATAGCTTCCGACAAACCGTTGGAAAGTGTTGCCCCACGCTAGTACACGTCCTACAATTATTGGATTTGCAGTTGAATTGTTTTATAATAAAAATTTCGTGAAAGGCGTTCATCACAACCTGCATGTGGCGACGGAGTGTGGACTTGGGGAAGGGGGTGCAAAGTGGGCTGGCGGAGCAAACTCTGACATTTAATTCGATTTTGACCGACTAGGTTGCACTTTTGCTATCATATTGGTGCCGATCGATTCGTCTTGTGACGCTCTATCGACCTGCTAACGTATTTGAATGTACAGGGTAGTGTTTCTTGCAAATGTGGCAAAAAGTGTTCAAATACTTATTTTACGCCATCAGTTCCCATTTAAAGACAGAGTCTAAGTAAAAAAAGGTAAACAGACCTAACAGGGTACTTCCATGAACAAAATTAGTACAAAAAGGGAAAAAATAAGTTTTGACTCAAAATTAATTTTTTTAAACAAATTCTTAAAAGCTATCAGATTTAACTTGAAAACAATGAATATTGAAAGCAAAAGTCTATCAATGCCGTTGACACAGATAAAATACGCACAAATCCTCAATTATAAACATAAATAAGGACAGAATCTGTGAATTTATGCAAAAAGTGGTGGCCTTAGACGCGTCGCATTCCCGTTGGAGCCTCGATGAGCCTTTGATTGATCTTGGCCCTACTAGAGGAGGGTCCCATGTACATTTAGACGTAGAGATCTCCGTCGGGACACGTAGGAGTCGTTTCGAAACTCAAGTTCAATATTAAGATAAAACTTATAATTCGCAGATTTACGTAGTTCCTAAAATGGGTGTGTACACATGCCACCGAGGAAAAAGTGAGTCCAGCTCAAGTCCATATGTTGAGTAAGATACCTAAACAAGAGATCTCGTTGGAAACCGGGACGAAAAACGCGATGGGGCTGGTAGGAAATCGTTTCGGCATGAGTCATTTTTATGATCCACAAGCGGAACTTCATAAGCCTCAAAATACCAAGTTTTCAGGTGCCATTCTCACTGTGATACGGCTAGTATATTTGGCTGGTTTGTTCATTTTCTTGAAGACTGAACCTTTTCGCACATCATCTTGTACAAATCCGATGCAAAAAATAACTTTCAAAAACAGAATTAAATGTCAATTTTGCGAATCTCAACCCACTGTGCATTGGGCTTGTGGCCCTTCTCAAAACTGCCACCTTACCTGATATAACGGTGCAAAGAAACCACCAAAAAAACACGAGAAATCATAGAATTTAGGAAACAGCTCGAATACGCCATGCTGATGTAAATGATTCCGTCCTTGTGTTCGGTTGAATTGGAAGTATCGGGCAGTCAACTAGACCGAATGCACCCCAAATTTTGTGCTCTTTCGATCTGAACAAAGCAAGGTGCAAAGCATTTTGCAATCAACGGCCTAGATCTTACAATCGAAGCAAAAAAAGTAACCCGTGCACAGGGATGATACCCAAACCGAAACGATACCAGGGCTGTTGCGTCAACAGTTTGCACTTATGATTAAAACTCAAAAAGTGTAGCACCTGGAACCAAGGGAAGAGATTTTCCTTGTTGATCTTCCTCCGCTGGTCTTCCTTCCGCTGGTCTTCCTCCAGGTATTTCACCTGAGCCCAATCGGGTATTTTGACTTCGTTTTCTCTTGCCTAAAATTCACTCACACCTGCACTGCAACTGAAACGGTCTTTCCACACAAGGTTCCAAAAGTGACAATAGACGGCGCGCGATTCATGTTCGAGCTATTTCCAACCTTCACAAATAAACATCCAATTTACAGATTGATTTAATATAAAAGGGAATAAAAACAGATAATGGCCCACATTAAAATAAACCTATTTCCTTATTATATTTTTAAATGAGTTAACAGGAAGAAAGTTCTCGTTTCATATTATACTAAAAATATGTTGTTTGTCTTTGTAGTGTTTGTCTTCAAGCAGTGGTTGTGTTGTCAACTGCCAACTGGAAACTTTATGAAAAGTGAATGAATCTCCAGGCTTCTCACACCACATTGGCGTCACTCGACAACAACAAAACGGATCTGGAAAGAATTGAAGGTCTTTGTTAAATTAAAAAAGCTCAGCAATATACCCATAATTTAAAAATTCTCAAGGGAAACGGACTGAAAACAAAAGAAGTCACCACTCTCCTCTCTTCCCCTCCCCCTTTCTGCACTTGTTTGTTTGGGTTAATTCAATCAAGTGTTCTTGGTTTCATCATGGTACATAGCCGGATTGGGCTAGCTGTCATTGCAAACCACTGTCAAAGGGTCGTGTTTTAACCATTTTTAACAAGAAGCGCCTCTGAAGAAAAAGCAACGTCCTCCAATGTTTTATAAACAGTATCTTCAAGAAGATGGATCATTGTGTGTGCCACCAAGTACGGTTAGGAGGCGTGTAAGCCTTTTTTATCACTCATGTTTTATATTTCTATGAGCAACAACTTGTTTCCAAAGTTAAAATTTTTTTTATTATTGTTTGGCGTAGGTTAAGGAACAATTTGCATCAGGATGCTCTTCAACGCAATCCCAGCAGAAAGACGAATGTTCTTCTAGTCAAAGCACCAGGGAGGATGAGAGTGATGAAAGCATAGGTGAACATTCTAATAATCAATCACAATGAAAGCGAGTGTACTACTGTTACACATGTCTGTCTTCCATTCGTAATAAGTAGTCATCTTTGTTTCTTATGTCATTTTATTTTTGCTATTTTTTTTAGGGTGACAGCTTTCAACCATATGAATCAGAGAACTCGAATGGAAATGACAGCGGCAGCAATCACCAAGAACTCCATGGGAACTCAACAGATCATTCAGATGATGAAAATAATACTTCAACACCGGTCAGTCAACCTAATTTACAGGTCATGTAACTCATTCAAACCCTAATAATGTCTGATCATCACTCAATATTGTCATCGTGTTATTTTTCTGCTTAGGATGGCTGTTCCGGTAATGATGATATAAATAGTGTTTCTCATCCTGATCCCCCTGCAGAAAGTGAGGGATAAACTGATCTGGACAGTGGATTCCAACAGGTAAGCTTCGTTTGTAATGATAACAGCTGCCCCAACACAATTTAACAATGTCCTGATTATGTTGTTTTTTTTAATTATTTCCAGAACAATAAACTGTTTGAAACGGGTCCGCAAGATTATTCACAGATTTTCAGTGAAGGCGCTAAAGAAAATGCTCATTTGTCACTTGTAGAAGAGGATCATTTTGTGTCCAATGAAGATCGTGCTTCATCTTCTTCTGAAACTCTGAGCACAAACGAAGAAAGTGAGAGTAGTTTTGCTAGAGTCACAAGTCCATGACATAAAATTAGGAAACTTTATAAACTTGAATGACAAGTTCAAGTTAGACAAGCCTTTAATTCCAAATATAGTCCAAACAACAAGGTTTGAATTTTTTTTTTTTATGGTTTTAAATTTCTCAATGCAAGAAGGGCTGTCTTAAGGTGGCCCCACAATGGCCGTTCTTTGACGGACATCCACCGGACATACACCGGACACCCGCTGTAGTTATCCCTTTTAGCGGGGCAGAGACCGTGTTTTGCCTTCATTTATTCCAATTGTGATGCGATATCATCTTCCCGTCACCCAAAAGTTTACATGACCGCGATAATCGCAAACCAAAGGGGGGTGTCCGGTGGATGTCCGTCGTAAAAGCGGCCATTGTGGGGCCACCTTTATAATGGAACTGCAAGGCTGTTACAACTTATTAATAACATTTTTGGCTTTGAAGTGATTCCAGATGGGATCACAGTTTTCCGATCATTATTTGATTATGACTTTGGACTGACATATCACTTCTTCTGTCCTAATTGTTTATACTATTTTGGAGATTATGATAAAGCTAAGGTAGATGGTCTGAAATGTCCTGTTACTGGATGTGGTAGGAAAGGAAATCTTAAAAAAATGAATGGTGGTCATTTTTTTGTTAATTTGCCTTAAGCACCTCAATTTAAGATTTTTCTTGAAACTCAAGAAAATTTAAAGGATCCGTTATCGTATCGATTTAATAGAGGGCAATTAGAGATGTGTTTGACGGAGAGTTGTACAAGAAACTGTCTTCTGCTGGACAAATTCTCAGTCATATTTATAAATTTTCACTGTCAATGAGTACAGATGGGTCACCTGTTATTCGAAGTGGTTGTAATTCTATGTGGCCAGTTCAAGTTCGAATTAATGAACTGCCTCCCAAACAAAGATTTGATTCTTCTACTATGTTTGTGTGTGGTGTCTGGTTTGGATCATGCGAACCAAATATGAATGTGTTTCTTTCTCCATATGTTGGTGAATTGCAGTCTCTATATGAGAGGGGATTCAAGTGGAATTTATAAGATGAGGAGAGAACGAGTCATGTTGTAACTCTTAATTGTTGTCTTGATTCAAGGGCAAAGCCAGATGTACAGTGTTTTAAACAACTTCATTCATATTCAGGATGCAGTTACTGTTATCACCCAGGTAATCTGGTTAATTTAACAAAAAATGAGATTGTTGTTGAACCCGACGAAGATGATGAAGATATTTTGATGGATGATCGTCAAGCTGATACAGATTTAATTGGCGAACATGTCGAAGAGACTCATGGGGGAAAAAAGAAACGTGAAGCAAAAGCTGTGAGGTATTGTGTGTCTCGTGATGGTTTCCCTCCTTTTAGGACAGATGAGCAGATCAGAGGAGACATGGAAAAAAGCAATGAAAGTAGTTCTGCTGTAAATGGTATAACTGTAATTTCTATTCTAACTCTTCTTCCTTTGTTTGATATGGTGTATGGATTTGTTATTGATTATATGCACGCCATTCTTTTATGTATTACCAAAATGTTTTTAAAGCTATGGATTGATCCAAAATTTTCAAAGCAGCCTTACGGTATACGATCTAAAGCGCATCAAGTCAATGCCAGATTGATAAAATTCTCTGGGCCCACTTATATTTTAAGGAGGCCACACAACATTCTTCATTGGAAGGCTAATGAATTTAGGGCTTGGCTCTATTTTTCGTGCTTACCTTCTTTAGAAGGCATTTTGCCAGATGTATTTTTCAAGCACTTCTCACTACTTGATTCTGCAGTAGTAATCTTATCATCAGAGAGAATAAGTCTGACTGAACTGGATCAGGCCAAGAGTTACTTGTTCCTTTTTATAAGTGACATTGAAAGGCTCTATGGGCCTGCATTCATTGTTCATAATTCACATATAATTTCCCATTTAGCTGATTGTGTGAAATATACTGGACAGTTATGGTCACACAGTGCATTCGGGTTTGAAACAGGAAATGGTGCTCTTGTTAATTTAGTGAAAGGCACTGTCGGAGTTATTTTTCAAATCGCAGACATTAAGAGGTTGTGACTATCCGGAAGAAAGCTTTCCTCCGAATAAGGTTTCGGGATGCTAAAAACACTATTCGGAAGAATACTGCTTTTTTAAAAGTATTTTTCCGGATAGAGATCCACAAGGGCTCAGTCACTATTCGGAAGAATTTTCCCAACAGGTATGATTTTGCTTAAATCTCTATTCGGAAGAAAGTACCTAACCTTCAGCAGAACCCCTGCACCCGCCCTGCAAAAGATTGTCTATTTGCAGTCAACATACAATGGCGCCGCCTCCACCATATTCGGAGGAAAGCTTTCTTCCGGATAGTCACAACGGCATATAGTCAAAATTAAATCAAACTGACATGAAATGATGTCATTTGGACATCAAAATGGACCAAATTTTGAGCAAAGATAGCTCATTTTGAGGTCACATTGACATAATTTGGACTTTTTTGTTCTCCCTGGGGAATCTTGAAAAAGTAAATTTAATACCCAAAAAAAATCTTGAACTGTTTAATTTAATTATTCATTGACAACAATATAACAACGATATTTTTAATATAAAGGCAAGTTATCACTCAGATAAGATGTTTCCTGAATCAAATATAAAGGTTGACAATTAGCTGCCAGGAGTATGTAAAGGTAGTCAGGAAAGTTGCACTACCGTCAACGGGGGTAACTTGGGACAGTCTGCCCTGTACTGCTTGTTGGTGCTGCCATTCAGCGACGGGGGTTCATAGCGTCAAACCCGCGGCAGGGTTTTGTTTCAGAGGCCTCAGGGCACGCGCGGAAAGGTGGAAGAGGTGCATAACATCACAATTAGTATTTGAGAAACAGGAAACTACATAATAGGGTTTTTGACAAAATATGTAAATCATTGACAAGTTGACCCTAGTGCAAGGAGTGAAATGCAGATTTGGCCGTTTAGTATCTCTGGATAGTTACCCCCGTTGACGGTACCATAACAAAACATTTTTAGCACACAAGAATCATTGATACATTTTCAACATTTGCATAATGGTAATTAATTAGTAGGCCTCTGAAATTCAGCAGGATATTTGGTATGTCTGGCTGCTATCTTTGTTCAGGCAAGTTATCACAGATATACAGATAAAAGGTTTCCTGCAGTAGTATGTGGTGTGTAGCAGGGACGTTGAACATAACAATTTTTCATCTTCTGAAAAGTAGTCTCACGCAACCCTCTCCCTTGACGCCTTATTCGCAGTTTGGCCACTTTCTTCCGAATAGGACAATGTTGGCAAATAATGCTTATTCGGAAAATTCTTCCGAATAAGGATTTCAAACAGCTAAACCTCTATCTGGAGGAAAATTCTTCCGAATAAGGATTTTAGACAGCTGCAGCTCTATCAGGAGAAAAACAATATAGAGACTCGCCATCGATTTAGAAACGATTCTACCAGACAGGCGTTCTTCCGAATAGTGCTGACCACATTAAGATGTGTACCTTTGATGTTAAAGATATTTCCCAGAAATGATATAGTTAGATTGTTTTGTGATAGTCTTGTTCCTAAACGAATGTCATGGAGTACAGTAAAATGTAATGCGATTAGAGTAGAGAGCCAGGTTCAGCAGAGATAGCTTCTTTGTCTCCTTCTGAGGCAAAAGTACAACTGCCAAATTGCCTGCTGATTTGTTTTGCCACCATCGAATGATTATCAATGGGATCTTGTATAACAGCAAAACGTATCCAAGAAAGGGCGATCGTTCAAACAACAGTGTTGTAAAGACTTCTGGTGGAAAATATGGTATGATACAAAGAATACTGGTTGCATCTAAGGTGTTGTACGTAATTCTCAAAGACATAAATATTGATAATATTCCTATAGTGAAGCATGACTCGGGTAGGGAAGCAAAAGGGATAAAATGAGGATGGACGAAAAACGAAAAGCTGCAGAATTTCTCGTCAAAAGCTCGGTCTGAAGACAACACGTTTTTATTTAGGTTAGGTTACCAAAAATGGATCACTTTTTAAATAATCTTCTCAGTATCGAAATAAAGTTTGGGTTGACTTCTATTTTTTTAATCTAACGTTGATGTTTACCCTAGTAGTCATATTGCTGCCAAAACTGGTACCTGTAACTTGAATACTTTGGAAGTTGCGAGGACATGAAAATATGGCTGTTTTTGCTAAGGTTAGGTGAGGGCGGTCCAATCGTGGATCACCCCACCAGCGCGTATGGACCAGAGGTGTGCATATCCATCCGCCCAGCATCCGTTCAATCCGCAGCCGGGCCGCGGGTGGGTCGCATACCACTGGACCCGTCCGCACCCAACCCGCCCAATCCGGCCCGCGCATCTGCTCCATCCGTTCCATCCGCAGCCTGCTGGGCGGCCGTTCGTCTCTCTCGCACTCCCAGCGGCGCCGCTCGCTCCGTCTCGCTCGCCCGGCCAGCGGCGGCGTGGCGTAGCGTAGCTGCCTCACCTGTGTCGCCCGGACTGCGTTCGCAAGGCGAAACAACGCGTTCGAATCGTCGCCTGGACAGGCCAGCTTTTGACGCTGCGGATAGAACGGATGCTGGACGGATGGATGTGCACACCTCTGGTATGGACACTAAGCAAGTCATGCATTCAGTGGTCCCAAAATTTCGAAGTAGTGTGTCTAAAGTGCACCATGAAAAATTTTGAAGTGACTGCGGTGATAACTTAGCCCAGAATAAGGAGTGCAACAATCACCTTTTTGAACGTCATTTTTCCATCGATTTTCGGGGGCCTGTCTTAGGTGTCTTCCTAAACGCAACCCTGCAGAGTAGAGAGAGGCAGTTGCAAACTTGTCAGCTTCACATCTAACAGTCAAAGGACCGCTCTCAGGAAGGAAAAACAGAAATTTAGAATCTGGCCACCTGGTCTTTAGATATAGACCCACAAACAGAAATGATCCATGTTTGGTACCCCGATACATGTTTGGCACTTTACCCTAGCCATAAATTCAATTACAAACATCTGTGTTTTGATCTTTTTTTTGTTTCATAGCAAACTACTGCACACATAACCGCTGGGTACTGTGAGTATCCTCGTGGTACGAGGATACTCCTCGAGCCACGTGCTTACAAGCATGCGCTTGACGTGCCTACGTATAGACTTTGAAGTGTGTAAACACTGAGTGCACACTTCGAGGCGTATGTCAAGAACCTATAAAGCCCCAATCCGACTGACTCACTGACTCACTCATAGAAATGTTTGGGGTGAAGGAGTGGTCGTAGAGACTTGCGGTTTTTTCCATTCAATTCCAAATTTTATGGGAAAATTGGGAAAAATCCCAAAAGTTGAAAATTCCTTACCGTTTCCGAGAAAACCTACTTTATCTACAAAAAAGGGGAACAAATTTCTCACCGTTTCCGAGCAAACCTACTCAATCTTCAAAAAAAGGGGACCGACCGACTAAAAATTTTTATTCGCCCTATCGGTAGGTCTGGTCGAGACATTTCCAAAACTGTGCCGCAATCGGGTCTCCGTCACCGGCAACATCCTCAAAAACGATTAAATAGGCCTAAATTCAACAAAATCCACTCAATCTTCAAAAAAGGGGACCGACCGACTTAAAATTTTTATTCGCCCCATCGGTAGGTCTGGTCGAGACATTTCCGAAACTGTGCCGCAATCGGGTCCCCGTCACCGGCAACATCCTCAAAAACGATTAAATAGGCCTAAATTCAACAAAATCCACTCAATCTTCAAAAAAGGGGACCGACCGACTAAAAATTTTTATTCGCCCCATCGGTAGGTCTGGTCGAGACATTTCCGAAACTGTGCCGCAATCGGGTCCCCGTCACCGGCAACATCCTCAAAAACGATTAAATAGGCCTAAATTCAACAAAATCCACTCAATCTTCAAAAAAGGAGACCGACCGACTAAAAATTTTTATTCGCCCCATCGGTAGGTATGGTCGAGACATTTCCGAAACTGTGCCGCAATCGGGTCGCCGTCACCGGTAACATACTCAAAATCAATCATCAATTATCATCAAGAACCTACATAGCCGCAAAATCCGACTGACTGACTCCCTCACTTAGGTTCTTGATATATAGCCCCAATCCAACTGACTGACTCACTGACTCATCCACTGACTCACTCACTCATAGAAATGTTTGGGGTCAAGGAGTAGTCGTAGAGACTTGCGGCTTTTTCCATTCGATTCCAAATTTAATGGGAAAATAGGGAATATCCCAAAAGTTGAAAATTTCTCACCGTTTCCGAGCAAACCTACTCAATCTTCAAAAAAGGGGACCGACCGACTAAAAATTTTTATTCGCCCCATCGGTAGGTCTGGTCGAGACATTTCCGAAACTGTGCCGCAATCGGGTCCTCGTCACCGGCAACATCCTCAAAAACGATAAAATAGGCCTAAATTTAACAAAATCCACTCAATCTTCAAAAAAGGGGACCGACCGACTAAAAATTTTTATTCGCCCCATCGGTAGGTCTGGTCGAGACATTTCCGAAACTGTGCCGCAATCGGGTCCTCGTCACCGGCAACATCCTCAAAAACGATAAAATAGGCCTAAATTTAACAAAATCCACTCAATCTTCAAAAAAGGGGACCGACCGACTAAAAATTTTTATTCGCCCCATCGGTAGGTCTGGTCGAGACATTTCCGAAACTGTGCCGCAATCGGGTCCTCGTCACCGGCAACATCCTCAAAAACGATAAAATAGGCCTAAATTTAACAAAATCCACTCAATCTTCAAAAAAGGGGACCGACCGACAAAAAATTTTTTATTCGCCCCATCGGTAGGTCTGGTCGAGACATTTCCGAAACTGTGCCGCAATCGGGTCCTCGTCACCGGCAACATCCTCAAAAACGATAAAATAGGCCTAAATTTAACAAAATCCACTCAATCTTCAAAAAAGGGGACCGACCGACTAAAAAATTTTATTCGCCCCACCGGTAGGTCTGGTCGAGACATTTCCGAAACTGTGCCGCAATCGGGTTCTTGTCACCGGCAACATCCTCAAAAACGATAAAATAGGCCTAAATTTAACAAACTCCACTCAATCTTCAAACAAGGAAACTGTCCGACTAAAAATTTTTATTCGCCCCATCGGTAGGTCTAGTCGAGACATTTCATTAACTGTGCCGCAATCGGGTCCCCGTCACCGGCAACATCCTCAAAAACGATTAAATAGGCCTAAATTTAACAAAGTCCACTCAATCTTCAAAAAAGGGTACCGACCGACTAAAAATTTTTATTAGCCCAATCGGTAGATCAAGTCGAGACATTTCAGAAACTGTGCCACAATCGGGTCCCCGTCACCGGCAACATCCTCAAAAACGATTAAATAGGCCTAAATTTAACATAGTCCACTCAATCTTCAAAAAAGGGGACCGACCGACTAAAAATTTTTATTAGCCCAATCGGTAGATCAAGTCGAGACATTTCAGAAACTGTGCCACAATCGGGTCCCCGTCACCGGCAACATACTCAAAATCAATCATCAATTGTCATCAAGAACCTATAAAGCCCCAAAATCCGACTGACTGACTCCCTCACTCATCAATCATCAAGAACCCATATAGCCCCAATCCGACTGACTGACTCACTCACTCATAGAAATGTTGGGGGTCAAGGAGTGGTCGTAGAGACCTGCGGGTTTTTCCATTCGATTCCAAATTTAATGGGAAAATTGGGAAAAATCTCAAAAGTTGAAAATTTCTCACTGTTTCCGAGCAAAGCTACTCAATCTTCCAAAAAGGGGACCGAATGACTAAAAAATTTTATTCGCCCCATCGGTAGGTCTGGTCGAGAATTTCCGAAACTGTGCCGTAATCGGGACCCCGCCACCGGCAATTGGGCAATCATCTTCAAGAATCTATATAGCCCCAATCCGACTGACTGACTGACTCACTTACTCACTCCAAGAAATGTTTGGGGTCGAGGAGTGGTCGTAGAGACTTAAGGTTTTTTTCCTTTCACCTCTATCCTTGTCAAAGCAGTCTTCAATATTTTCCGGACCTTGTATGCACCCATTGACTGCCACAGTAGCCAATGCAATACAAGCTATCTATTTGGGCAGTAAAAGTAGCCTTATTATATGGTCAAAAGCGGTTAAATAGAGCTTTCAAAGAAGCAGGACATTTACTTCCTTAGAAAATTTGCCTTTGCTCACCGCGGACTTACTGAAAATACTTCGGCACGCGCTCCACACATGCGGGGGTCTGGGGGCGGAGCCCCCAGCGAGCAGCGCGAGTTTTATCCCTATTCCTGAAGTTTTCCCAATCCCTTTGTCTTTTAATCTCGGTGACTTTTTACTGTGCGTCAGCGAAGACAGATAGAGTGTTAATCCCACAGATGTTGCGACCGCGCAAGATGCGGAAGTATCCTTGTTCTCCCCAAGAGGAACCCCACGAGTTTTTGACAATCCAATATGGGATTGGGCCTTCTAGGCCGTAACCTACAATGACGACACCATGGTTTATTGTCGTTGGGCACGAGGCATCTGCGATGATACCTGAAACGAGACAATGCCAAAATGTGAGTGACGAGCGTTGGAGACGCGATCACAACATAGAAACTGCGAATGACGAATGCGTATACAAATCAGGGCTGTCGGAAGTACTTCCTGCACTGTTAAAAATAATCGTAAATTAACGACATTTTGTAAAACAATTAGGTCGTTTTTAAACGACATATTTTGTAACGACTCAAGTCGTAAATATACGACTTGAGTCGTAAATTTACGTCATATTTGTCGCTAATTTTGATAGCGAGACGTTCCGTTTGAAAACGAATTAAGTCGTAAATTTACAACTTAATCGTAAGTTTACGAACGATCGTAATTTATCTATGGAATATGTTGTGCAGTTATGACTTTAGTCGTACATTTACGAACCTTTTCGTAAATTTGTGTAATGAATCGTAAATGAACGACACAAATCGTAAATAAGCGAGCGAAATTGCAACTTTTCATCTACTTTTCGGGAATTTCAGATTTCAAAATATGTAATCGCGATTACGACACTGTCGTAGAGAAATGATTTTTTAGTCGTTCAGTTACGACGAAGTGGTTTCAGAACGATTTCTGTCGCTATCAAAATTACTCTACAAATCAAAGAGTGTACATGGTATGCTCTAACTGGAGCATGCCTGCAAGCACGCTCTAGCTAGCGCATGCCTGCCAAGCATGCACTAACTAGTGCATACATGCCATGTACACGCTTCCTGATGCAGAAAACTCCCTATCCCTTAGGCAGTAAATGTACGCTTCAGTTATCGTGTACATGGCATGTATGCACTAGTTAGTGCATGCTTGGCAGGCATGCGCTAGTTAGAGCGTGCTTTCAGGCATGCTCCAGTTAGAGCGTACCATGTACACTCTTTGATTTGTAGAGTAGCGACGTTTTTGTCGCTAATTTACGACAAAATTTCTGACAGTGTGGTAGGGAAGGGGCGGAATTTTTGTAAAAAAAATTGATGGGTTGTCTACCGTTAAGGGGCAACACCCAGTACGGTTTAGACTTCTTTAATTATGTTCCAAATCCAGCGAAAACTACACTATTCTAGACCATTTTTAGAGCATAATAATTATTGTGCGTGTAATTATTACACGCTCTTTTGGCGAGCGAAGCAACCCAAACGGTAAAATATTAGAGAAAACTAGTTATGATTTATAATTAACCACTTACGAATGTCCACAGCTAATGTGAAAATGGCGAATGTCCACTCATGAGGTCACTGAGTGGTTTGCAACTTGTCAACACTGGTCCAATCAAATAATAATGACTAACGGCTCCTCTCATCTCAATCCCATCAGGCTAACAATACATATCTCAAATCGGACTCTTAAATATTTGTAAGAAGCATCAGATCTAAAAGACCAGCATTCTTCGTCACCTGAGTCTGATGACGATGGTGAAACCAGAGTCCGATGACGATGGTGAAACCAGAGTCCGATGACGATGGTGGATGGTGCATTTGTCTTCTTAGGCAGCACTTGGCCTAACAGTCATGGGTCCAACACAGAGTGTGCTACATGGAGGTTATCAGCATGGATGAGTCCAAGTTCTCATTAGCTGCAGAAGATTCATGCGCCAATCACCATATTCATCAGACTCCGGTGAGGGAGAATGCTGCTCTTTTAAATATGTATGACCCCCGCAAAGATGTAAGAGTCCATTCTAAAATACGTATTGTAAGCCTGATGCGGTTGAGATGGGAGGAAAAGTTACACTAAAAACCTAACTGTCTACACGGCAAAAGCACCGCCTGGGATTCCCAGGGGCATCATGGGAAAAAGGGCATATTTTCCAGGCACCGCCTGGGAATCCCAGGCGGTGCTTTTGCCGTGTATTAAGAACACACTTACAAATGCATGCTTGCAAGTCCACACTTACAAACGAATGCTTGACGCTTGGAGTTATACGGCGCCAGGGATGCATTTGTTAGTGTGTACTTGCAAGCATGCATTTGTAAGTATGTACTTGGCCAAGCATGCGTTTTTAAATGTGTACTTGGAAGCATGCATTTTTAAGTGTGTATTTAGTAGACACTTAGGTTTGCACTGTATTCATTATTATTTGATTGGAACAGTGTACACAAGTTGCTAACCACTCAGTGACCTCATGGGTGGTTGGTTGATTAAGATGGGCTGTGGACTTACGCCTGTTCGCCAGAAAGGTCCATGGACTTACGCCTGATTGTCAGAATGCTCTATGGACTTACGTCTGTTTGTCAGAATGTTCAATGGACTTACGCTTGTTTGTCAGAATGACCCATGGACTTACGCCTGTTTGTCAGAATGGCCTATGGACTTACGCCTCTTTGTCAGAACGGCCAATGGACTTACGCCTCTTTGTCAAAAACCCACCTGGACTTACGCCTCTTTGTCAAAAAACCACCTGGACTTACGCCTCTTTGTCAGAAAACGGGTGGACTTACGCCCCTTTGTCAAAAATGGAATGGACTTACGCCCTTTGGACACCTTCTGTATCTTCTGAACTAATTGAGATATTTTCATTTTTCAAAAACCAGTAGGCTTGTTATTTAATTTTAAATTCTTTTCTGGAAAAAAGTGGATTTTGCCAATTTGTGGACTTACGCCCCTTTGTCAAAAAACCAGTGACATGCGTCCTGGTGAGAAATTTTCAAATCCCGTGCTCGAGGCTCAATCCAGAGAGGCGGAATCGTGGCAGGAGTGAAGCAAGGTCGCAGAAAAATGAAGTGCACTGGCGCTCCGTCTTGCCATCGCCACCCCACCCTCCCATACTCATTTTTCTTTTATTTGACATAATTTTGAGCCAAGAATAAAATATCAATCGAATACATAAGTTACTTTTGTCAGAATGATCGTTTTTCGAATCCTCTGCATTTTCACTGGTGTGCCCCCTTAAGTCGAGTTTTACATCGTTTCCTGCAGTTTTTGGTGTGCTGACAACGAAAATGACTTCCAATTTCATCCCAGACCTTTACTTTTCCAAATATTTACCAATTTCGCAAAATTTACCAATTTGTGACCAAAATTTCAAAGTTAAGTTTCCCATTGTTTCCTGCAGTTTTCAGTAAGATATTCACGAAAATGACATGAATCCCGGCCCTTTCGTTACGGCCCTATTGGCCCTATTCTGCACATATTTTTCGCCATCTCCTATAAGAATGTGTTCAGACGCATCGCTTGCCCACTACGCGCCCAAACGAAACGGCGCGTACCCCTAGTTTTAACAGTGTTGACAAGAGTAATAGTATAATCTTAGGGATGAATCCCCTTCCCCTCCCTACGACATTTCAATTCGTGTGCCTACACCGTTTTCAAAATCGTCCAGATTCACTCTGTTGTAGTGAAATAAGTGCCTCTCACATAGTGCTCTGTACAAAGTAGGTAAACGCTATGCTTCCAGTGACGGAAAACGCTGTACTCTTCCAGGTACAGTAAACGCCGTACTAGCAAGTACGCGTTAAGTCCTGTTAATAAATTAACGGTGAATCAGTACCTTTTTGCCACAGGGATGGGTCGGCCGAAACCTACTCACCGGTGAATCAAAGTTCTTTTTGCTGTTTCGACAAACGAGTGATACTATTTGCCAGACTGAAACGTGTTGCTGCTGCATTGTTCAAGACAGTCCAAGGCATTTTTTTGCGACGTTTGTAAACAGAACTTACCTCCTGCGTAATGGGTGAAAGCTGCCGATGCGGCATTCACAGTTGCGGCTATAGGCCCGTTGTTTTGGACTTCTTGCCTCATCCGCTCCTCACCCTCGTCACCTTGAATGAAGTCGACGTTTGATACCTTAGCGACCACTTTGCTCGCGACGTACCGGCAGCTTTGTACCTGGAACGGCAAAGGAGTTTTAACACTTGACTCCGCCCCTGCTAAGGATTGAACCAAACTTGGCTTGTGCGTTCCTTCCTACAAACTGTCAAAAATCCCCGGGAGTAAGATCTGACTAGAGTCAGGGCTGGTTTCGCTTGAGGCTTGAAACTACCAAAAATGGCTATTTTCAAAGGAGCACACCAGTAAACTCATCAATATTTGGCCTTCTTTCTTATTTTGTCTTGTTAGCAGATGATACCTTTACTACTTCCAAACATACCTATAACACACTGTTAAAAAATTCTTAAATTTAATACATAATGACATCTTATTTTTAATAACTTTTTGAAAGGTTATAAAAACTCATAAAGGTTTCTGAAGTTTGAGAAAATTTCTTACATTTACCAAAACATTTCTGACAAGTAGTGGAAACATTGGTAACTTTCAGAACCTTCATTAAAATTGAAAAACAGGTTGATAATATTTGAGATCGCTTGCCAAATGCAATAATTTGTTTCTTAAAATTCAAAATTACTATGACTTTTCATATTTGATTCTCATCGTGCCAGTTAAAATTGTGATCATCGGACTTTTACTCGAGAGTCCACACCCAGGGAATGATTTACTTGTTACAAAAAAAATTGCATCAGCACAAGACAAAATTTGTCTCACGGCTGGGCAATGCAGGTGTTGTGATTGTTAAAAGTATGTTCTTTGTCTCCCTGCTATGCAAAATTTATCTCTGTTCGAGACAAAATTACGTTGTCTCAAGAGGTTTTTAATCAATTTGATTCAGACCCAGCATCAGCGATGTGACGTCAGACAGCAATATTTTCTTGCTATTTTTGTCTCTGAATTTTGCTCGGCACAATGCTGCTTTTTGCATCAAGTAGTGAGAAAAGAACATTTTCTCAGTCTGAGACTAACATTCTTGTTTCTGCTGCGCCTGCGCACTTCTGATCTCTTCGACCAATGACAAGCAGAGCGGGAACTGCTTCGAACGGTAACCCGGTCCCTGATTGGCTGTGGCCGGCTGTGGCCTGGCATACTGAAGAAGAGCGGCGCGTTCCATGGCTCTCTCTCAAACGCGTCGGAGCAGCAACTGCTCTCGTAGCACAGTGGTAAAGTGCCAGCCCTCCTGGATAGTAACCCGGGTTCGGTTCCCACCGAAGCGCCACCAGTTTTCTCTGGCCAAATTATCACGTAGCCACCCAGAGAATGGACGGGAGTGTCAAGATTTCCGAAAAGGAGGGGGAGCAGTGTTTTTTAGTTTTTTGGGTGGGGGAGAAGGGGTACTGGCAAAAGATAAGGCTGGCGGAACCGAACCCGGGACCTGTGACTTTCCAACGTGGGCCTTAACCCCCAAGACTGGGGGACGTGCCGAAACGTGCTGCCTCACGCACTGCACATAACACAAGCACTTGCTTCGAATCCTAGCAGAGGCAACTTGTTCCCGGCGTGAATGGCTGTCGACGAGGCGGGCGCGTGTTGCATTGAGGTACACGATTGATGTAGTCACCATCGCCGCACTGTTAAAAATATTTGTTTTAAAACAACAACACAGTTACGAACCTCTACAACGCTGTTGTTTGTGAACAAGTTTGCTTGTTTTGAAACGACGAATTCATTGCTAATTATTTTAATGACGTATGCTGTTTCAAAACAATATTTTGCTGTGTACAAACAACCCGGACAATCTAAAAAGTGGTTACTGCGGGGTAACCGGGACTCTACTAGGTCTGTGACCTAATCGGCAATAAAAATTGATGCAAATAAGGCTGTCTATCGGTTTACAAACATCTTGTGGACGAACGACGCAACTCGTTAGTAAACAACAAAAGTCATTTGAAAACAACTTTGATCGCTAAGAAAATTAGCAACATATTTACTGCTAAATTACAACATAATTTTTAACAGTGCGCTCAAAACACGGGAAAAAAAATTACCGCGGTGCCGGGACTCGAAGCTGGTTCGCGGCTCGAGGCTTGCCGTGGAACGCGGCCTGAGCATCTCGGACACAGTGGTATCGATTTGGAGGCTCGACATCATTAAAAAATGAATCATCTAGCTGAGAGTCGAACCCGGATCCTTCGGAGTTAAACGCGGGAACCGTATCCGTTGCTCTATGGAACGGGTTGGCAGCTTGGCACGCAAAGGCGGCACTTCTGTGGAGTTGAGTGGCGGGGAGTGCCTACATCGCGAAACTAAGAAAGCCGCGCGCCCAGTCACTTTCCTTCGTAGTTCCACCTTCGTGGCGAAGTGGGCAAGGCTACTGCACCCCACGTCAGAGGTTCCGAGTTCGAACCTTGCCACATGCAAGCGTTTTGTGTCAGTTCTCTCGAAACCTGAGCAAACATTTGTCTCATCCATGAGACAAAAGGCGTTAGAAAAATGCTCAATTTGAGAATAAAATGTTTGATTCGAATCAAATATTATCAAAAGTCAGGTGACACAAAATCGAGCATCGATGCAAGTAAATCGTTCCCTGGGTGCAGAAACCAAGGCTGTATCCTAACAATAATAGAGACCCATTGCAAAGTGCTCTACAAATCAAAGAGTGTACATGGTACGCTCTAACTGGAGCATGCCTGTAAGCACGCTCTAACTAGCGCATGCCTGCCAAGCATGCACTAACTAGCGCATACATGCCATGTACACGATAACTGAAGCGTACATTTACTGCCTAAGGGATAGGGAGTTTTCTGCATCAGGAAGCGTGTACATGGCATGTATGCACTAGTTAGTGCATGCTTGGCAGGCATGCGCTAGCTAGAGCGTGCTTGCAGGCATGCTCCAGTTAGAGCATACCATGTACACTCTTTGATTTGTAGAGTGTCCAAACTGAGACTAGAATTTTTATTGTTTCTTTTCCGAAGAAGGTTAGTTACCTAGATGGCCATCGCAAACCAAACTTTCGCCGCTGAACACAAACACAATGGTGGTTTGAATTTGCCCTAGGTGCAGTAGCTTACACTTTACCTTCAATAGGTGTGTAGCGGGTCTGCCTACCTAATCGTACCACATTTTTGCCAACCTCGATACTAAAGTACATTTTATGGCGATACAATTGAGTATTGCCAATAAACGGCCTTACGGAAAAGTAATACCTTCAGAACGGTGATACACAGAAGTATCGCCAAAATTTGGCAATACTTTTGGGTAATGCCAAAACTACGGCATTAAACCAAGGTCTTGTGCCCTTGATTTGTTCGACGTTTATTGCCAAATCGTGGCAATACTCCAAGGTATTGCCAAATTTTTGCAATACTTTTGTGTATCGCCGTTTTGAAGGCAATACTTTTCCGTAATGGCATACTCAATTGTATCGCCAAAAAAGGTGCTAAAAGTTTTCCCTTTGGATTTACAGTGAAAAGAAATGCAATAATTTGGCTTGGCCTTTCGAAAGTACTGCGACACGATAAAATATGACAGACATAGACTATCGTTGACCGTGGCAAGACGAAATGCACACAAAAGTAACAATTATAACGTTTCGTTTCTCTAGGAAGAGTAGCCATGTTTACTGTTTTCGTTGTTTTGCTTTTGTTGATTGCTTGTGCGCCCTGACCTGTTGAGTGCGAATAACACATTGAGGGCAAATAACATGTTGAGTGCGAATAACATGTTAGGGCCGGTTAAGGCGCATGAGCAATCAACAAAAGCAAAACAACAAAAACAGTGAACATGGCTACTCTTCCTAGAGAAACGAAACGCTGTCTGTCTGTCATGTTTTATCGTGTCGCAGTACTTTCGAAAGGCCTGAGTGCTATCGGGCCATTTCAAAACTATTCGAGTGTTGTTCTGAGGAAGATTTTGAAGAGGGAGCGGAGTGGCGCGGCAGGGCCAGGCTAGGGCTCTGAGGCTAGCTCAAGTCTTCCTGATTTGAGAATGGACTGAGACCCCTTGCTGTATCAACTCCTTACCAAGAGAGAAGTGACTCAATGATATCCAGCATTTTGTGTTGATGAGAGTGTATTATTCCAGTGTCTCAGGAATTGCTGGCCAAACCACAGCGATTGCATTGTTGGTCGGCGGCAATGACACGTAACCTGAAAATACAGATGCAGGTCTTGTATTTCACTGGTCCGGTTCTACCTTTCATGGTATTATTGCAGTGATTTGAACTAGGGATCCTAAGTAATGAAAACTAGTGTATGGAGATTTATTTTTTCTGTGAACGGGTAATGCTTTCCACGCCAAATTATTGCATTTCTTTTGGAGCGCCAAATTTTGGCGCTGTAGAAAAGACGCCACTCCACTGGTGAGGAAACGTGCCACTGGATTTGCAGTGAATTGGTTTTGTCTGCTATGGGATTACCTACAAAAATTGAAAGGTATTTTGAACTGTGAACTTGACTAACGTTTTCTTTCTACGTTGCTAGAACTACTTACCATCCCAGCGTACGGATAAGACGACCACCCTTCAACACCCGAATTCTGCATGTACAACATCGCATTGTACGGGTTGCCACCGTTACAACCACTGTCGTTGTCGTCACAGTCCACCAACTGCTGGGGGCTCAGATCATTCGGGCTCTGTCCATTCGCCAAGGCCTGACGTGACTCGACACAACCCACCTAGAGAACGTCAAAAGCATAAAGCAAGATTCATCTTTGCACTTTTTGGCCTGCCCTTCGATTCAATAGACCTCTTTGCCGTTCCCACGGCCCCCCTCCCTGGACCACCGTTGCCTAGCAACGCGAGCCAAACAAATCGCAGGTATGCTGCACACCGGACGGCGCGCGGCGGGTGGGTTTTCCGGCCATATTTCCTAAACGTTCAAGATAGACGGTACAGAAGCGAGCCGATTGTAGATCTCAGCTTAAACTACAATCGGCCCCGCTTACTATCCCCATCTAGCTTAAAACGTTTACGAGATATGACCAAAAAACGCATCCGTCGTGCGTCGCCTAGCAGGCAGCATACCTGAGATTTGTTTGGCTCGCGGCTCGCGTTGCTAGCGACGGTGGTCCAGGGAGGGGGACCGTGGGAACGGCAAAGAGGTCTATAACAGGAAGAGTAGCGATAAACATCGGCAACTTTGGCCCGTCCCGTACATTAACAATGTGTGAATTTCGCCTTTGTTTAACCTGACGGACTTGAACTGAGTCTGGGGTCAAAATAGATGTTATTTTCGTCATCAGCGCCTCAAAAAGCATCAGAAACAATGCAAAAACTCGATTAAAAAGAATGTTCAAAATATACCCCACTGGGATTTGAACCCGGGTCCAAACTTCTCCGATTTCCTTGAAACTGGCACCGTTGGTTTTGTCTCGTCGCCCGATTCCAAAAATACCCTACATGCCTGCTAGCTGTATCCGTTGCCGAAATCCTCCTCGACCCCATGTAGACATGATGCAGCCGGGCTCGGATCGGATTTGCTCCCACCGGGCGGTTCTTAGGGTCACCCAAGGATGCTGCATACCAAATTTGGTCCAAGATCGGACCACGGAAAGTCCTGGGAAACGAACGAACGGACGAACGAACGAACGGACGCACAGCCGCATCCAAAAAAGATACTCCCCCTCCCCACGACTGACTGTTTGAGTGACATACAACTTTTAACCACAGCGAAAAGTGGCCGATCGATTTTCTTCGTTTAAGAGTCAAACGATTCGTTATTTCAATAATTGGGAAGCGAAAAAATATTAGAATTTACTTTTTCTCAACCTTTTGCCTGCTAAACGAGGAAAACTCATTTCCCATAAGGCCTGCAGTGAGGGGGTGGGGGAAAATACCGCGCCCCCCGGCCGGCACCCGCGACTCGCCGATCGCACTTTCACCTAGAAGGATGCGTCTCAGATGGGTCATCAAAGCGTACGCTACCCCTCAAATTTAATTTTCTATCTGCTGAACTTGGTCCCGTCTCGATGCGACCCACCGTTCTCCAGCTTTGACCTTTTCCTCCCTAAAAAGCGGCAGAATTTTCGCTACTTTTTCTTTCCGTGGCTGGTTTGGAGTACAAGACGACTTCCGAGATACCTCATCAAAGCGTACGCTACCCCTTATTTTTTACGAGGAACATTTTTGCTTTTGTTACTTTTTCTGTAGGACGAACGGTTCTTGATATTGCGACTCCCCCTGGTTGCCTACCTCGCGGGGGCTCTTCCTTCTCATGCGAGACTTCTATCGGCTGGGTATGATAACTTAACTTTTATTAAAACATAGTTTCGGTTCTTCGACCGTCATCTCAAGAACCATCAGTTCTCTAAATTTACCCACTTTCCTTCCCTTCCGCTGTCACTGGTTGCCTACTTGGCAGGGGCATTTAATTTCTCACAAGACTGCTTTCCAGAGCGGTCAGAAAAATTCTATATGACTCTACTTTTTAATAAGGAATATTTCTGGGGCGATTATTTCTGTCTCTAGGCGCAACGGTTGTCAAGATTTTGCTTCCTCAAGATGCCTTCTTTGCAGGGGCGCTCACTTGATGTTCGAGACAAATACACTATGATCCCCTTTTCACAAGGTCCTGGGTTTTTTCGTTTTTTTACGGCCCCATCAAGGACAGCAAACATCTCCGATTTTACAACTTTTGTGTTAGAGAACCGGCCCTGATAACTTAATCCCCTTCAGGTTGCCTACTTTCCAGGGGCTCCAACTTTTAATAAAACAAACTATCTTGGAATGGTTAAGTACAGCGTAATTAAAACACAAAGTCCGTCTTCATGGTGGCAAAGGTGAATTCCCGCTTTTATTGCTTTCTAGCCCATTTTTAACAGAAAACTTTTGGGGTAGAATTTTAGATTGTAGGGCACTGCTTATGACAGTCAGAGTCCATTTATAGTTTTTATACATAGCTATACGGCTTGACAGGTACGCATTAATTCGTTTGTCAAGATAAAAAATTCTTCAATAGAAATCTTCTCTTCAGGAACGATGGCCATTTGTACTTTGTCACTGCTGATGAATGAAGGGCTGCTGCGTTCGTCACCCCACTAGCCATCACAGCTCCTCGCTGTAATTAGTGAGCAGTGCGATTCAGGCTAGATGACAGGCGCTGCTGTTTTGAAGACGGCAAAGTCATTTCACATCAGCTGCTGACTGCGGCCAGGACAACGACTCCAGGGGAGCCCGACTTTCGACGCTTTGACTCAATGCCACCCCCTTTTGACTCACTCGTCACGAAACATTGTGTACCAGACAGCTTCTGGAATTGTTGACCGCGGCGTACACCGCCCGATTAACAGGCGGCTAGGTCCTACTATCGCTAACCAGACCGCACTCAGCGGGCCGAAGGCACGCACGGGGGGTCTGGGGGGCGAAGCCCCCCAGCGAGCGAAGCGAGTCATACTATATGCCCGTGCCCTCGTCATATTTTTACAAAAAAATAAACGGGACGGGCCAAAAAGAAGGGGGATCGATTTCGGGACCTCGGGTGACTTGGGAAAAAAATTACCCCGCAACGCTGCCGTAGTTCAGGCGCGTAGTGGCTGAGCGATGCGACTTTACAGTCTAATACGAGAAATTTTCTATCAGGGGTCTGATTTCTAAGACAGTCAACTGCAAAGAAAATCATACGCCGTTTAAGTCTGAGGTTGAGAGACTCACCCTATTGCATGTTGTCAAATATATATTGATCCTCTTAAAATATACTAATGTACTTATGTTAGCTTTCAGCATTGAATACTATTTCCGTAGTCAAACAAAGCTTAGTGAGACAATTCACCAATACATGTATGCCTACTAATTTCAACAGCTCAATTTGTGAAGTTCCCTTATTTTGTTTACTATGAAAATTAACATTAGGGGAAGTTGCTGAGAAACGTGACAGACTCACGGCAGTTGATTTTTGATGCGTCTTAACACAGCAAGGGCTTTACCATTGATCAACCAATGAAATTTTAGCTTCAATGCCAGCGCAATGCTTGTTTCAGTTTAGAACAGTGTGTCGGCATGATGTACAGAGTTTTGCGAGCTTGGACAGTTTAGCACTACTTCTAAGCCCAGAGAAAATCTTCCCAAGTATTTAGAGCATGCTTATTTAAAAGCAGTTTTCTACTTTATAAACAGATTTGCTTCGAAACCAAGAAAGTTTTCTTTTATAACCTATTTGAACAGAATATACTTTTTTATACAAAGCCATGCTTCGCACAGCAATCAAAATTCTCTGTATTTGTAAACCATACTAAGAATTTTCATTGCCATACGGACCATCATCATCATCAGCGCTGTTAGGCCTCAGCAGACCGCTAGCGTTGGCTTTGTATAAAAAAGTATTTCCAGGTCAAATAGGTTATAAAGAAAAACTTTGTTGGTTCGAGAAGACGATCGTCTACTTACCACACTAAAGGCCCAACTGGAACCGCATGATTCCTCATTCTTCACGCTGGTAACGACTCCTTTCTGTCTCCAGTCAATAGAAATGCTGAAGGAGATGCAAGTCACCTTGAAGTTTACCTCGACACACTGAAACGCGAGTTGTAAAACAAACACTACCTACATATTCTGTATGCCGGTGTCCACTTGTCTCCTCAGCCGACGGCGTGGTGCCCATCGGTTGGTCAAAGGTAGGTCTGCAATGTCTAGGTTGTTTCCATTCAACTCATGACCTTCCTGAAACACAACGTATAAGCCGCGTACACACAAAGTCACATTATTCCAAAGGGTGAGAGATCTTACCAATTTTCGGCGATACAAAACGTATGGCCGAAAAAAAGAAAGAAATGTATGACACAAATGTATGACCAGACTTATGTTCTTATACCTATACTTGTACTTATGTATGGGCCATACTTATGTATGACTAAAAAACAGGCTCAGCAGCGAGACTGGCCCTTGTTTTTAGATTAGTTTTAATTATATTTAATTAAATTTATAACTGCTCATTAGAGCTTATAAATAGTTAACTAATTGAAAGCCTTATTAAATTCAATTAAAATTTATTATAATGTTTATGGTTAATAAGGTCTACAGGAATTTGTTCAGAGAAAGATAGTTTACAGAAATCAGTCTTTTTTCAACTTGAACAATGAAAGGGAACTGATTGCATAACAATAAGAGATCAAACACTTCACCTCAAACAAAAAAAAAAAGAGATCTTCACCAATGCAAACGAACTTTGCTTCAACGATAAGAGAGATCACTTCACGATAAGAGAGATCAAACACTTCTCCTCAAACAAAAATAAAAAGATATCTTCACCAATGCAAACGAACTTTGCTTCACGATAAGAGAGATCAATTCACGATAAGAGAGATCAAACACTTCATCTCAACAAAACTAAACAAGATCTTCACCAATGCAAAGGAACTTGCTTCACAATACAAGAGATCAAACACTTTACCTCAAACAAAAATAAAAAGAGTTCTTTAACAATGCAAAGGAACTTTCGCTTCACGATATAAGAGAGGTACTTCACCTCAACAAAACTAAACAAGATCTTCACCAATGCAAAGGAACTTTGCTTCACAATAAAAGATACCAAACACTTTACCTCAAACAAAAAAAAGAGATCTTTACCATATGGAAATGAACCTTGCTTCACAATAAAAGAGATCATAGGCTTACATATCTAACAAAAATAAAAATATCTTTACTCTGTGGCGTATAGAGCAGACCCAGAAAATGTCTGTTAGTATCCTTCTTTGGTGACATTAATCACATACAGAAAAGAATTAACACAAATGTGTAGGGTACATAAAAACTATGTACTTCAGAATACTAACAAAAGCACTTGGAGTGCGAAACAATTAAAAGAGAAATAATTCCAAAATTGGAAAACATCAAGAGTAAAATAAAAATGCATCACACTGTGGCGCAGACCCTGATTTCTGAGCAGCGCCCAAAGAAGGCCTGCCGCATAGCTTGAATGCCAACCCTGGGAAGCCAGGATTTCTTGTCATTTTCCAGTTCAATAGCTTTAGCTGCAAGCAGAAGAAATAAATATAATACATAAAAGCAAACATTCAATATTGGTGTAAGTGGCACTGTATACACACCTAGAAGAGCATCCCTGCCATCAGGATGCAAGCGGCACTTTGTACTCTCAGTTTTCATCTGGCTAGAGCCTCTGCCCCTAGCAGGGTACCCCTGAGGTGTGCAGTTTACGAGGGCATCAATGACATAAATTTCCACCATATTTCCAACATTTTTCTGATGAACATGGTGACAGATTTTGCCGAGTTCAAAACTGTTGTAAGTTCATCCTCTTTGACATAAACTTGAAAATTAGGATGCAGACGAGTAACCTTATATTAGCAATAATAACAATTGGAAAAATTAAGACTATAATTTGGAAGATCAGGCACGCTTTACAATTTCGCTTACCCCAGGGTCAGCCTCCCCGTGCAGGTAGTTCACTCCTTCATAAAAAGCCGCATTACGCTTTACTGATGATCAGCGCTTTGGCTTTGGAGGTGGAGAGGCAGCGCTACTGGAAGAGCTTGATGAAGAGATGCTTGAACTAGAAGATGAAGAGCTGCTTGAACTCGAAGAGGATGAGGATGAATGGTGCCTCCTGCGCTTGGATTTCTTGCTATGTTTCCTCTTCTTAGATTTCTTGCTTTTCTTTGAATGCTTCTATTTCTTCTTTCCCTTCCCAGCATCCTTCTTTGATTCCTCCTGTTTGTCCTCTGAATCTGAATTATCCTTCTGATCAGGCCCTGACTTACTCTCCTCAGACTCATCCGCTGAAGTAGATGCGCCGCTCACCTTCTCCCTCTCAGCCTTAACCTTGGTTGGAAAACACTCCTCAATCAATTCCTCCGTGGACAGTGTTTTTCAAAACGCTTTGCACCGATGGAAAGGGCTTGAAATTTAGGGTGCATTAGGCTAATTGCTCTTCTCGAAACTCCTCCCCTACCTGATATAAAGGTGCAGTAAAAACACCGAAAAACACAAAAAACATAAAATTGAGGAAAAAACTCGAATGCGCCATGTCGATGTAAATGATTTCGCCCTTGTGTTCGGTTGAATTGGAAGTATCGGGCAGTCTTTTAGGCCTAATGCACCCCAAATTTTCTGCTCTTTTGATCTGTGCAAAGCGTTTTGCAATCAACGGGCTAGATCATACAATCGAAGCAAAATAAGTAACCCCTGCAACTCACTCGCGCACGGCTTCACGCGCTTCCTAGGCCGTTGCCGCCCCCTGGCAGTGCATGTCTGACGGAGACACTGTTAATCAGGATGAAACAAGCTGAACTCACCATATCCGAAAACCTGTTGATGCCAAGGTAGGAAAGCGTTTCCCCTCTTGCGTAGCGAGCATTATGTTCAGCGACCATGTCAACGTTACGTCTGAATATTTCCATTCTACGGGAGTTCTCTTCAGGATTCGAGTACGTCTTGTTGTGGAGTGTCTGAAAGGGCGAAAATCGTGTCGTGCTTCCTTACAGACTTTTCTCTCCCACATCTTTACAACAACTGTGAATCGTTACCTTGAAGCTGTTCCATCGGTGGATGAAATCGTCACTGCAGAGGCAAGCTAAAATAGAATTCAGGAACAGGACACCAAGGAGCCACATTTTCGCTGACACTTTAGTGTCGGATATCTGAAAACCAGTAGAGTTTTAACAAATTACTGAAATCGCAGTGTAAGAGGGGTTAAAAACAGAATTGGAAACATCTCTCAGGTTAGCTCTCAAAGGGTGCTGTTGAAAAACATGAGTTACGGTGTTAATGAATCCGTTCGGACCACCGGAAAAAATCCCGCAGAGCATTCAAAGGTCAAAAGTTCAAAATCACCGAAATGACTTGGAAGGGGTCGGAACGACTTCAAGTAGTCCTCTCACAAAAAAAACTCTAGCAGTAAAGATGCTTTGCGTGCCGCAATTCAAGGGGTCCATTTCAAATGATCCTTTCTGAGCGTTCCCCCTAAGAGAATCTCATCTGAACCCGAGGCGAAAGTCACTCAGTTTTATCATTTGGGACGGACACGAGTAGAAGCGGAATTTATTTCTACATGCTCCGTTGGGAAATTCCGTGCGTATGGGCGAATTCTGAGTGCCATAAATTTGAAAAATGAAACTTTCATTTCGGGGCCAATTTTGGTGATTTGCAGCTGTATCAAATGATCAAATTGAGTGAAATTCGCCTGCGTCCAAGGTAAGATTCTCTTTGAGGTAACACCCAGATTATATCTTTTGAATAGGACCCCTCGAATTAAGGGGAGACGTAAATTTGATTCGACGAAATGCACATGTTTTGGCCTATCTCCGGCAGGACATTCTTATCTTCCATGTATGCGGCATTCCAGGGCCGAAGCTGACCTTGACCGATTTCGCTTCATCGTGGCTCAAATATTATCTACCCATATGTCATCACGCCCACAAAGTTTCAGCACTATTGGTCTAGTTTAAAAGAATTTCCGACCGTACAGAAAAATATAGTTCGCTATTAGCCCCCGTGCTAGGAGTACGCCGCACAGTGATGCAAAACCAAGGGGAAATTACTTTGAATTTTGGTGTACATGGCCGTGAATTTCATGAATTTTTTTGAAATATTTGAATTTTTGTTGAATTTTTTGAATTTTGACAAATTTCAATGAATTTTTGCGAATTTTCAAGATTTTTTTGAATTTTGATGAATTTTTTGAACTTGGCTGCAGTTTTTGAATTTCATGAATTTCAATGAATTTCTATGAATTTCTCTGTTTTTTAATGAATTTTGGTGAATTTCAATGAATTTTTGAGCCTTTGATCTCCGAGGGCATCTCGGAAGCATCCAAGAAGTGGGCTGCAACGTCCTCGGGCTCGGGAGTCTGTGCCTTCATCGCGCAGTAGTGGGTTGGTCCAACGAATGTGTCAGATCGCTCTGTTTCAACCGACCCGTTCGGACGCGTGAATGCAGGCGCTTGGATGCTATGCCATACTGGGCGCCCCACCGCCCACGTCTGTCCGTCTTTCCTGCGTGAGACTTGGAGAGGGTGTCAAATGCGATCAAGAAAAACATTCGTTTGTTCATCCTTTGGTGTGAATGTATCGGCGTGTTTCCGTCGCGTTGCTAACACGCACTCACGTGCGCTCTCTGAGCGGCCGGGGGCCGTCCGAAACACATTCCACAAGGATCGAGAAGGTTTTCTGTGAAGAACGGCGAGGACAGAGGACCACCCCTCAAAGAAATGACACTGTTAACAGATGTCCCCGCAATTAGGCAAGGTCGAGGAGCCCGGCCGGGGGAGGGGGGAGGGGCCGGCGGCGAGGGAGGCGGTGGCCTGCCTGCACCACGGGACGCCATTCATTGACACCGAGCCTCCCTCGGCCGCCGCGCCTTCAAAAATTGACCCACAAGTTCCAACTCAAACAAAATTTTGGACCGTATAGAGGCGTGAAAGACGCTTGCGTAGTTTTAAAAATTGTAAAATTTAGGGAAATACTAGAACACCTGTGCTTTGGTAAGAGTCAGAGTAGTATAGCGCCAACACACCGGTAGCCATGCTCAGTTTTCATCTGCTATGTGGCACTCGCCGGCTGCTGCGTTAGCAATCAAGAGAGACCTCCTCCCCTCCCCCCCCCCTTCTCACAACCACACGGTCTCCGCGAGGGCTCCCCTCACGTTTTCGTACGCAGGTTTAAATCATGCATCCCATCGTAAATTAACGAAAATTCATTGAAATTCATTGAATTTTAGTGAGTTTTAATGAATTTCAGTGAACTTTGACACATTTTGATGAATTTTGTACACTTTTTGAATTTTTGTACTGCAATGAATTTTATGAATTTTGAAGAATTTCGATGAATTTCAATGAATTTTGGTGAATTTTTAAATTTTATGAATTTTACTGAATTTTTTGAATTTTGTTGAATTTTTTTGAATTTTGCATTAGGTGTACACATTTTTTCGGAGTAGTTTCCCCTTGTGCAAAACCGAAAAAAGTCGCGCAAAATTATAGAGTGCCCTGATCACTGCCAATTTTCAGGCTGTGGGGTTTTGAGGGTCGCTGACCTCATTCCTGAAGAAATTCAACGTATGCGACCACCACAGGGGCGGATCTAGGACTGTTTAGGGGGGTGACACTGTAACGCTGCGCTTGATCACTGCCATATTTTGTGCAGAGATGTTTTAAGGGTCGCCGACATTATTTCTGAAAGGATGGAACGTGTGCGACCACCACAGGGGCGGAGCTTTAGTAGTTTAGGGGGTAACATTGTTACGCTGTGCTTTATCACTACCAAATTTTGTGAAAAGAAGTTTTTAGGGTCGCTGACTTCTTTTCTGAAGAGATTGAACGTGTGCAACCGCCACAGGGTAGGAACTTAAGCTGGAACTTAAGGGGAAACGATTATGGTTAAGTTTGGGAAATGGAAGTTGACCAGTCATTTGTGACAATGCCGCGACTTTGGAGTCGATTTTTTCGAAAAGCGCAACTTTTCGCAACCTGAGACCATATAGACCTTAAAGTTGGCCCCAGGTGCTACCATGTGGCTGTGACTGACCGGTTCGCAAGTGTTCGCAACTCGACTTATTCCACTTCGAAATCAACAAAAAAGACAAATTTGGCTATTATTTTACGGCGAATATTTAGTGACCGAGAGCTTTGCCGTTAATTGTAGCAATTGTAGCGGATATCTTGAACTCTCAGCTTTCCAAAAACACACAACATGTTACACTTTGTTCTGCAGATGCCGCCACAACGAACAGTTTTCGCACCGCATCACAGTGGGCGGAAAGACCACTTTTGACGGGAAAAAGTCGGGTTCCGCAACCCTTATGTAGATTCCAATACATGCACTTTCCTAGCTCAAAAAAGTGTGCCGATTCCAAATCTGCCTTTGTTTTTATCATGCGCCTTTTCGTTTTTCTCATAGAAGGCTTGAAAGTCACATGTATCTATTCGCTAAGAAATGACGCAACAAAAAGCGCTTAAATTCGCTGCGTTTACTGAGTCAGTTTTAGATCTAATTTTACAACCAGGATGTTTTTAGAAAGAGCAGTTCACGAGGATTCCAAAACTGTCATTGGATTGTAATTTCTAGTATGTTTGAAAAAAACTGCGGCCGTTTGAAATTTGCATGTCACAAAACACAAAATTCCAAAGTTCCCTTGGCCGGCATAAAAAGCCCCAAGTTGCCCCGCGCTCTCTCTAGATTCATTTGGGACCGCAAAGAGTGCTCTTTCGGAGGGAAAAAGAATTAGCTGCCCATAGCTGCCCTTCCGAACTTTATGGCTCGATTTGTGTGAGCGTGCGTACGAAAAAACGGGTCCCGACGCATGTCAATCGCATAGGTCATCTCAGGGCATTCCCCTCCCGCCTCCGGCCCTCTCCCTTTCCCGTCCCCCTCCCGTTCACTCCCAGTTCCCTCCTCCCCCTGCCCTCCCCCTCCCCTTGTACAATGACTTTTCAGTGTTGTCGACTTAGGACAGCAAATATGGGTATATTCGGAATCGGGGCGACACAACTGGACCAATGACGCGTTCGGAGTCGATCAGTGTTGTAGCTTGGCCTGTAACGTGTCGTTGCCTTGTATTAGAAGTAGAAGAAGTAACGCAATAAAATCTGTTGCCACAATAGGGGGCCTACGATGTTGATTTAGTAAATTATACAGTAAATTTATACTATGCGTCCATAGAAAAATCGAAAAATGGCCAGATTTAGAATCAGGATGATGATGATGACCCCCTTAAACCTTGAAAAATTAAAGTCATCCACCTTGAATCATTGAATCTGCCTCAGCAAAGTTTAGAAAATTGCTAGATTCAGGATCAGTGACACTTGAAAACTGATATAGGACGTTTTGACCCGGTATGCTCGAATAATAAAATTTACCACCCTTGTATCACTGGATCTGCCCCAGAAAAATTCAAGACATGGCCAGATTTGGAATCAGCGACCCCCAAAACCCAGAGTACGGAGTTTTAGCGCGGATTGCTCCAAATAAAAATCTACCCCCTTATATCTCCGGATCCGCCCCTGAAAAGTTCAAAATATGATCAGATTTAGAATCAGCGACCCCAAAAACATTGAAAACGGATGAATAATGATTTTCGGACAAGTAATTCAGTTGTAATGACTTTTTCCCGTCAAAAGTGGTCTTTCCGCCCACTGTTCGCATGTGGCTCTATTTGGTTTTTTGCATCAAATTGCTCTATTTCAGCGCCATAAAAAGATAGGCCTACCCATATTGTGGCACAAAAGAGTTCCGTCACCGTGTAGTTCGATCTTTTCTGCGCTCAAAAACGTCAGTTCCTTAAGGGATGGACCAAATCAACGAAAAGTGCTTTTTGCGCGCGACTTTTTACCGTTTTGCATCACTGTGCGCCGCCTACCTCTGGCTGCAGTCTCACCCAGGATAAGCTGCTTGAATGAAAAAGCAGTTTCTGCGCACCCTTCCCAGAAGATACTGGCACGACATTGTCTGCATCCGCCATATACTACCTTGAGCGACATGATAAGAGGTGAATGACATTGCTTTCGGACAAACTCGAGCTGTTTGCGACCTGTCGTGACCTGCAAACGTATCTTATTCCATTGACTAAGCGACATGAAACCAAAGTCACAGGTTTTTGGACAGAGGGGTCCACTGAACCAAATTATTCAGGACGGACGGACAAAAAACATTCTGTTTTTAGCTCTGAAGATTCTAAACTTGGCCACAGGACTGTCAAATTTTTGAGACAAATACTTTGAGCAAGTGTGAATCTTTTTGTGAAAATATGAATGTGTCACTCTTCTGTAACTCCTAAAAAGTCAGAAATACCCTTTGACTCAATTCAAACTTGACTCAATTCTGGGTTGAACAGGAACGTTGTTATTTGTCCGAAGTCACTGTGGCAACAAAGCTCCCAAGACAAACCCTTGGAACTTCTTATTATTTATCAAAATATGATTTGGCTTGATGACCTGATGCTGATGCTGCTTGATGCTGAGTGCCATTATCTTTTCTGGCCTGTTTCTCTCGGGATCATAACAGAGCCAGTAACATCAATCAAGAAGTCTGCTGCCTTAAAATTTACTATGGAATGTTTCTGAAAGAATGTAGTTATTTTCAGTAGGTGGTATCATTTTTCCTAACTGTCATTAGAATTACAAATGATTACTCTACAAATCAAAGAGTGTACATGGTATGCTCTAACTGGAGCATGCCTGCAAGCACGCTCTAGCTAGCGCATGCCTGCCAAGCATGCACTAACTAGTGAATACATGCCATGTACACGCTTCCTGATGCAGAAAACTCCCTATCCCTTAGGCAGTAAATGTACGCTTCAGTTATCGTGTACATGGCATGTATGCGCTAGTTAGTGCATGCTTGGCAGGCATGCTCCAGTTAGAGCGTACCATGTACACTCTTTGATTTGTAGAGTACAGTAATTTATAATGGTGAATATTCATATATTTGGCCCTCCATGTCATTTTATGAAGTTTCACGAGACCTCCAATACTCTATATTTCTCAGTGAGTTTTTTGTGCTGCAGCTTTATCTCATCAAAGACTTCAAGTAGGTGGCAATTTCTGCCCCAAGCATGGCAGGATTACCTGCTAATCGTGGATTCTTAAAAATGTTGGGTACAAACATCAGCATGTAAATCTACTTCCAACAAATACTTTCAGCGCAAAGTGTTCTAAGGTGCACCTTGTGGCTGCCTACATTGTATTCATGCTCATGCTGTAGTACTTTATTTGGGCTTATTAACACAGATATGATGATCTTGCAAAAATAAAATTGTTATATAACATTCCATTACTTTAAAGAACACAAAATTCTGTTCTTTCTACACTCTACCAAAAATGTCCTGTAAATGCCGTTAATTTATTACCAGTTTTCACTGTAGGTCAATTCACAGCGTTTACTGTGATCTGCTCACGGGATTCACTGTGATCTTGTTCGCGGTGTTCACTATGATCTGGTCCCCAGTAAACACTGTGAGTTTGACGCCGCTGAGCACCGAAGTACAGCAAATCAGGCTCCAATTCACGGCGTTTACTGTGGCCAGATCACAGTGAACACTGTAACCGAGATCACAGTGAACGCCGTGAACTAGTTCACAGCAAACGCCATGAATTGCATAACAGCAAACATTGGTAATAAATTAACGGCGTTGACAGGACATTTTTTGTAGAGTGTACATTATTGTGCCAATGATGCCACCTCTATTTTCTCTCAGTTTGGAGCAGCTGAAGGATACAGGGTGTAGAAAAAGAAGCCTTTAAATTAACACATTGAAAAATGTTTTGTTTTCAAACGCAATATTAAACCAAAATAGAAGCAGGACTAGTAGTCTTTAGGAACCGGTGAACTCTTATTTTAAGGAACTAGAGATAATCATGCAAATGAACAACTATTATGAAGTAACAGATCTAAGGAAGAGATAAGTCCAAGCAAGACTTTTACATGGCACTGCCGTGTGAAATAAGTAAACCGAAATTCAAATTCCAAGCCTTGCTACTAAATGAGTCAACAATATAAAAAATTCCAATGCTAATCGCATTGCACGGTGTTCCCGTTTCCATAACTGGTTGAAAATCGAGGAAAGCATGACAAGACAACCGCAGCCTTTGAGAGTATGCCAAACAATCCAACCTCAGCAACAATGGAGGGGCAGTTTCAATGGGCGCCTGTTCATTCTTTCAGCCTCGCGATTTTCGAAAGGGCGCAGACGGGAAGCATATTGGTGCCAACCCACGAAAATTAATTTGATGCGTCGTTTCTGCTACGAAATTTTTGGTAGTGACAGACTTTAAAGATGTTCCAACGTTGAGACACCGCGCAATGTGTTAGCATTAGCATTTTCAAATGTCACGTCGTTTAGATTTTTTTAAATGGGTGACTTTAAATTTTAACGGGTGGTACGATGGGACCATGCCGTTGCCATGGAGATTTTTTTTCATGTTTTGACCATTTGCTCAGAACATATACGATTTCTTGTTACTTTGATGAGCCAGGAGGTTTAGTTTTGAGGAGTGGCACATTTTTTATTTGAACCATTTTTTCATATCATTAACGGTTTTCGTTTTCGATTGTTGCAAATTTATGTTTTTCGCGTTTACGGAAAATTTCCACGATGAATTTTCGAAAAAAATTGGAATTTTCGTTTTTTTTTCATGGTTGAAATAGTTTAGAGTTGTTTATTTGAAAATCGGAGAGGGGGGGGGGGAAGAATCCACGGACCTCGGACAATAGGGGTTCTTGGGAACCCCTAAAAAGTCACATCAAACAGGTACAGGGTACAAGGGAGTAGCAAGTTTAAACTTAAAGACATGTTTGGCTTTACTGCCATTGATTACAAGGTAGGTTTACGCCAGACCGCGTCTTGTCGTAACAGGCTTCGCAATGTCTCGCTGCCTGTTTCTCCAATCCGCGCCTGGCGTACCTACCTTGGCTTGCGGCGGCGCTAGCCTGCCTTCGGCAGGCAATGGCTTCTCCATCGTCGATTTTCTTAACTTGTTGCGTGCTGGTGGGCTCTGCCCCCCGGACCCCCCTTCATTCTAGGTAGAGTTGCTTCATCTGCAGATAACTCGATCTTGATCCTTGTAACTTTTTCACTTGTCCGGGCTGGGGGGCTCCGCCCCCAGACCCCCCTTTCTTCAAGACAGAAGCAATCTGCCTACAGAAAACTCGATTTTTCGCCGTTTTTTCAGTGCTTTTCGGCTATAAAAACCGAACCAGTTGGGCTAGGATGGTGAAATTTCGCGTGTGCCGAGCCAAGGACATACCCAAAAAGTGTGCCAAATCTCACCGAGATCGGCCGAGCCGTTCAGGAGGAGTAGTGCGGACCGACACACACACACACAGACAGACAGGAAAAAATTTTCAACCCCACTGGAGTAACAGGCTTCGCTATCGCTCAGCTAATAAATAATAAAATATAACATTGAAAAATCAATTTTTTATTACAAATAAAACACAACTTCTTTCTCTATTTTACTCAACAACAAAAATCACATTCAGAAAAGGAACTATTTATGGGAAACTCCTTAACACTTCAAAATTAAACATACATGCAGTAGAAAATAAAGTTGAATTCTTATCCTACTACAGTAGGACGACAAGATGACAAGATAAATAATCACAGTTAACATTCTCATTTATCTAGTCAGTCTATTCAAAATCACTGTCACTGTCTCCATCACTTTCATCTTCATCAACCTCTTTATCGTCATCTTCTCTGTGAAATGGGTTTGCTTGTTTAAATTCTGCACCTTCGTACTCTGTTTCTAAGAAATTCTGAACAACATTAGCTTCAGGTACAATTTCAGATGGGGGATCATTTTCCTCTTCTTCTTCTATTTGGTCAACATTATTTTCAAGCCCAGGTCTCAAGTCAGTCCACTCTTTGTACTTGGCAACATATTGTTGAGAAATGTATCCTTTCTGTACATACCAATTCAAATCCCTACGAAGCAAGGGTTTAAGAGGAATCCTGCACTGCAGGAAATAACCACAACAAAGGTACACAAATTATTGGCAAATTTTTTATCAGAAATTTATTGTACTTTTCAAGTACAACAATTGTTGTACAAAGTACAATGGAGCCGGCGTGATGAGTGCTGGGCAGTCCAGGGCTCGTTGTGGTTTGTACAATTCTCGTTGTACTTTCTACAATCCCTGTTGTACTTTTATAGTACAGGTTTTGTTGTACTTTTGTTTCACTATCCACACTTTTTCTTGCAGTGTGGCATTGTAAGACAAGGAAGGCTTGACAGTTGCCCACTTAATTAGTCTCCCAACACCTCTTATCAAAATTAAGACTTTCTTCTCAGGCTGTGTCCAATTTAGCTTGTATTTTATGACACCAGCACCTGCATTTGGACTTAATGCAATTTCACGCACTTTGGAGGTCGGAATCTTGTCCCAATTGAGATGGGAGGCCAGATCTCTGTATGTGTATATCACTTTGTTTTAAGGTCATGAACTTGATAAGGTGGTTTCTTCACTTTGGCTGTTCGCATGTATGCATAATATTCAGTATGCCCTCTTCAAAAGATGGGGAGAAGGAACCTGGCAAAGGGAATAGTTTTTTGCGGCCCATATTCACGAATTTAACGAAGGGTTGAACGCCTGTTCCTAGCATAGACGATAAGAACGGGCGGCCGAAGCGGCCTCATTCTGCACTTCACGAGAAACGCTGACGTGCTCAATCAAACGCGATGTTGTCTCGGTCCTGCATGCTCAAAAGGTGTCTCTAGCGACCTGAATTGGCCGCATCACTATCAGACGCGTACTTGCAGAGCAGGACCCAATTATTCCCCGAGATGACGATAACTGTACCCTTGCCGATAACTGTATAGTTTACCCTTTATTTTTTTGGACTCGCAAGGCCCGTGCGTGCCTTCCCGATTTTTCAAAGGTACATTTACGTCATTTCACCGTTATTTCACGTTACTTAAAGGGACGTGTATC